AGACTAAAATTCATGTTTCAGTAGCATTTATCAACAATTTACAGTATCTCAGTCTCATCATATTCATTAGGAAAGCATTTACCAGTCTATCAATGTGTTTACACTCAAAATATGGTGTTGGGACCATTGAATTTTGTCCAAAATTTCCTGCTGAGGAAGGGATTAGATCAACCTGTCTGGGATCTTCAGAACATTCTTTACATAAGCATGAGATGTGTTGTCTTTTTTTCTACTTCTTCTAAATCATGCAGGAAGATAGATAAAGGGCACGAAGCATATTTGGTTTCATACGGCAGACAGCCTGACAGGCAGCTGGGTGGTGTACAAAAAAAGAAAATCCCTCTCATACTTAAAACTGCCTCTTCATCTTGCCACTTGTCATATCTTCTTTCTACTTTCTCAATAGAATTTGCCAATAGATACACAAATCATCAATTTCTATTTTACAAGAGCAGCACTTGAAGTGTCACTAATCTCTCCTAGTCCTTAATTCTCAGAATTTCTAAATTACTTTCCTTGATGGTACATTATATAGTTCTGTATTGTATGTTCCATGACTTACAATGTAATGATGACTTTATAATGAGTTTCTGATGAATTCATGGAAATAACATTGACATTGAGTATGTATTGAAGAAGTAAATCAAGACACTAATATTAGTAATAACAGTTTAGAATAGGAAGTCTTATGATCTGTTAGATATGATAATTTGATCATCTAATGTTATCTTAAATAATGACTGTGTTTTCCTGAAGATATGACAGGTGCATGAAGGTTTAGAAACAAAATAATCCTTCAGAGGAATCCCAAAGACTTTCCAGAGATCAAATCAAGGGCAATTTCAATACCTTGGTGAGTTGCTGATAGAAATCATGTTCGGAATATCTGATATGAAACTGTCAATCATGCTCGCAAATTCGAGCAGGTGATATTAAGGCTGTGCATAACCGTGTAACGAGGTACTCGAGTACACTCCCAAGCTTATATATTTTTTATTTTTTTTGCCACCACCATACTACGGAAGAAGTATGCCAGGTCTGTCTCCAAAAACTCGCGCAAGTTGCAGTAGAAGGCACCGACTTAATAATAATAATAATAGTAAACAATGCAGTTTTTAAAACCAAAGATGACAGACTAATCCATTTTCCTCTGATTCCAAACAGAAATCCGGACATCCGGTCCCAGTTTCTGAGTGGTGAGTTGACAGTGATTGAGCTGGGAAACATTTTTACCCACGGTACCATGCTGGCGGCTGACGCTCTCCCTGGCACGGGTAAGCGTCGGCCTGGACAGTGCCAGGCGCGGGCAAACAAAACCAAACCCCCCCCCCCCCCCCCGAAAAAAAAAAAAAAATGGTGGCTGACTATTCAAGTACGAGTCAAGTTCGATTACTCGTCGCAGCCTCAGGTGATATGCAATGTTATTGAAATTGCCTGATCATATTCTTCACTAATCTAGTGATTGTCTACAGCCTAATTGTACCTCTCATCATCCATCAAATCTTCCGGTTATTTCATTATTATTATCATCATTAACCTAATACCTAGAGATCCACTCTTTGCTTACACTGAAAAGGTGTGCTTCTGTATTAAAAGCAATAACAACAGAGCATTCAAAGGTGCTTACACGTAATTGATAATGCGGGACCATATCGTCTGTTTGGAGCCAGAAAGGCATTTAAACAACAACAAAATTTAATAATAATAATTTCATTCCCTTTTTCTAAGGGGGATTTCTTTGGTTGTCTATACTAATTGCATCATCGCATCATTTGCTGTCACTGTCATTTCAATTAAGCGCTAATACAATCTATATTTGTCATATTATAATATTAAATCAATAAATAATTGTCAAGCCTATTTGCAGTACATCAATATGACTGATGGTCCACAGGTGCCCATACAATGATGGAATAATCTATGTTTGTGTATATATTTTAATGGAACCTTTTTAAAATTTTAGAGCTGGTTCATCAAGCAGCCATCCAATTTTTTCTCATATTTTATTTAGTGTTCTAGGCTCAGCAATGACTTTAGCAGTAACTGATTTGTTTGTAGTTGTGCCAGTAGCTTCCACATAGAGTGATTTTTGTACCAGATCTCAAGAGAAAGGGACTCTTGAATATCAATGGGCACTTAATGGAATCCTGGACACGCACATGCATATATTTCAAAGTCATTGTATCACTGCCGTGTTCCAGTGACAGTCTCACTGTCCAGTGACAGACAGTGGACCAGAGATCTATGCCCAGAGCTGCCAATCTTGTACAACCAAAAAAAGGAACCATGATGACAAAAAAAAAAGAAGGAATTTCAAGCAAAAAAAGGAATTCCTTAACCCTATTTAGCCCGGGCTATTTTGAAACTGCATAGCCCGGGGGGGGCTTCTCAGGCCCCCCCCTATGATCTCGGCCGTGAAACGACCGATCGCCGCGAAAATTTGCATACATGTCAAGTGAAGTGTATAGATTACTATGGTAATTTCAATTTTTTGAAAAATTCACTCATTTGCATATTTATGGTAATTTATGCAAATAAGGTCATCAAATTCACATTTTTGCCCATAAATCAGACATTATTCATATTTAAGCATTCTTTCTCACTACATATATTTGTTAGATCATTTGGAATAATAATACAACACAAAAACTTGAAAAACCAGGGTTATTCTTTATGTTATCTATTGTTTTGATAATTTCTTATGTATTTCTTTGTTTTTTTAACTCATGTATTTTTATTGTTTTTGTTGTTTTATTTAATTTCCAACTATAATTCAACTATTTTGACCCCAAAATAAACACCTTAACTATAAACAAGACCAAATAACCAATGTTTTATCTCTTTATTTGAAAAAATGAGATTTCCATATGTTTTGTACACAAATCACAAAAATGAGCGATTTTCGGGCTGACATGCAAAGACAAAAGGTCATGTGACTTTGTAATGGTAGGTCCGATTTTCGAAAAATTTCTTTCAAAAGATGGGCAAGACTCGAAAGAAAAAAGTCACAAAATTTCAGTGCAAGATTTTCTTGCGTTAAAAAATTATCGCGAAAAATGTCGAGGGGGGGGCTTCTCAAGCCCCCCCCCGGGCTAAATAGGGTTAAAACAAAGCTTACAACCACACGCAACAAACTTCCAATGCAGAAATGTCCATTCCTCATGCTGTTTTTTTTTCCATTTTAGGACCTATAGTTTATTTACAAGTAGGTATTTTGTTGTTGATTTTTTCGTATTATCGGCGTCTCATTCTTTTTGAGAATATTTTTCTCTTCAAGTATGTTTTAACGTTAATTTTCTATTGACTTTGTGATCCAAATAACATTTTAGGGCAGTTGTTTGATGTGAGGTATGTAAAAATGAAATAAGAAAATAAAAAAATAATAATAATAAAATTATAAACATTATTAAAAAAAACGTATTTTATGAAGAAAAAACATACTACCATAATTTGGAGGAAAAAACGGAGTAATCTCAGGAATAACGGAATGGTTGGCAGCTGTGAATGCCATGTTCAAACTCTGCTTGTTGATAAAAAATTGTTTTTAAAAGTGCAGAATGATCATGCATAGTCGGAAATCAGGCAAACAATTTGTTTCTTTCTTCTTCAGCAAATAAAATCTGTTTTCCTACAGATGTGCTGTTTATCCTGAAAATATATCTCATCCACTGTGAGGCACTCAATACTTACCATCATCACATTCCTCCACCTGCCTTGTACCTTCTTGATGGTATCTTAATGAACACCTTGTAGATGAACTCCATGGTAATCGTACTATTACTTTGGTTCATTGGTGCAATGAAAACCATTCAAACACATCAACTTTGGGCTTATCAACTCAATCAATTTTACATGGGTCTTTTCCAGCAGTTTATAATCTAACTTGACCATGATGATGATCACTGGATAGATTAATCACAATGATGTTAGTTTCATTCATTTCACCATTGTTATACTTAAAAGTGGAATTATGAATACTACAACATCCTGCCATAAAGTTGACTTTAATACAGGCAGAAAAAGAAAGAGAGGGATTAATGAAAGTTTGAGGAAAATGTGATAAAGGATAAGTTTGGAGCTTTTTAAGTTGTCAAATCAGAAACACATTTTTAGCGACTGTGATTTCCTATATGAGCAGCTCTTCGTTTGTCTTGTATCAAATAATTTCCACTTTGTCTTTCTTGTTCTGTCATCATACCAGGGGGGGGGGGGTTCACAAAGACTAAGATCAACTTTAAGTTGGAGTTAACTATGTCAGGCCATTTATGCCACTGGGTGCTCTCACCATTGGTCTCTCAATTATGATCTTTAGATAATATTTTTCCTTCAATAATGAACTATTAAAAAAGGTAAATTCTGAAGATTTGTGACCACAGTTTGTAGGTCCCTTGAGAAACCAATGTCAGGAAATGGTGAGAGAAAACAGTGGCATGAACAACCTGCCATAGTTTAGTCCTACTTAAATTCGATCTTAGTCTTTGTGAAAGACTCCCCTGATCCTTAAATATAGCATTGGACACATTTCTACACACTCCTTCATACATTAGATCTATTCCTTTACCACTAGCCAAGAAGTGGGATTATCTGTTATAATTCTCAACTCAAAATGAATGGAGCACTGCTTGCAAGGGAAATTGAAGTGCTTATTTGTATTTGATGAAATACACATACAACTTTAAAAATTCACAAGGGTTTCATCTCTTGTCCAGTTTTCTCAAACTTTCACTGATCTGTTCATTTCATTTTTCTGCTTCAATTAATACCAACTCGATATCTGGTTGAAATCTCCCTTTACGATAATAATAATAATAATAATAATTATATTGGATTCTTATATAGCGCACGTATCAACCTTGTAAGGTCCTCAAGGCGCTCCAACATTACCCTGCTATGCTAGGCTGCCGATTTTCGACGCTCACAGCATAATAATTCAGCTGAAGCTTAGAAAAGAAGCTTATTAGAACTACTAAGTTATAAAATGGCAGTATAGCAGTACTTACCTATATGCCTCTGTAATGCCTGAGGTTTGACCACTTGTTTACACTGCTCACACACCACCAGGTAGAACTCATCCCTTGCTGGACAAAGCCCAAACATTGGAGAATCTAGAATAACATCTTGGTTAAGGAAATATTATGACACCATGGACAAATAAATCATTCAATTATAAGCATGTTTTGCCTGCTGAGATAAAAACAAAAAAGGCAAAATTAGATAACTTTATATGAAAAAGTAATCAGTTAACAAATTCTGTATGGTATTTTCAAAACACATCAATTTCCAAAATAGATATCACCTTTCAAGCCAATGTATCATGCAACTTATAACTGGGGGGGGGGGGGCATAGTCTACTACCCCATGGCTCAATCAAATTATGACTAAACATATTTTCCAATTACAATAAATTGTAAGTGCAAATTCCCTGTTAAACATTAGTGACACACATTCAAAACTTCTGGGTCAACATGTTAATGGTGTGGAACTTGATATATGGCTAAAGGGTAACTGTTTATCATTTAAAACTTGCTTTGAATTAATAAACTTTCAAATGAACCAACATGAGGAACGGCAGCTAAGTAGGCATCGAAAATAAATATAGAAGAAATACAGTTTTATCTCACATTTATTCTTACTTATCAACACAGTCATTGCTGACATACATGTATTATGTGGGAATATTGAGTACTAATTTCTATTTGCCAATATAAAAAAGCCTACTACTTGTGAAAATTAGTAACCTATCTTCCTCTAAGGATGGGAGACCTGAGAGCTTTCCTTCCTGGGCAATAAATGGATCTCCGTCTCACATATACACGTATGCACTGCGGTGTATGTTTCATAAGCCAGTAGATGGCAGCATTTCCAATATAATCAAAGAGCAAAGGTAGGGGCCCATAAAGGGTTTCATCACTTTCAAGGACATCCTGCATTGCAGAGACAAAACTTAGAATTATATGTCTATCAATATGTTTACAAACATTATCCTTTAATAGCTTCCAGCTCAAAATCATTATTCCTGTTCTCCATGGTTTCTATATCATGGGGGGAAGGGTGCTCTTTGTTTGTAGAAATAATAGTCCCAGTGCATACATGACTCACTGGTTATTGGTGTAGAACCGAATCAACCTTTCATAATCATTTCACCATCGACAAATGTCCAAGGTATGTTTGAAATAACAAATAACGTTGAAATAAGTATACCCTATGATTATTCTATACACATTTACTTTGTTTAAGATATTATGTGCAGGCAAAAATGCAAACTGTAGAGTACAGTGCAGGATATAGGACACTGACTACAAAATATTTTTATCGTCACTGTATTCTAGAGATCCAGCACACACTACCATACAAAAATTGTATGTGTTGCTGAACCAAAAGCCTCAATCTCTATCAGCCAAGGCATGTCACAAGTTAACTTCAGAATTGTTACATTTTTTCTCTTTTCAAAAAATGATCATGCACCTATTTCCAAAAGTTTCTAATACCAATGGATGTTGTGGCATATCTACTTCAGAAACAATAGATTTAAACCAAGTATACATAACTTAAAAATGGAAAATATAAGTACCTTATTTTTGTTATTTAGGGCATTACATCCCCTTTATTGTAACCATTTTTCTTGTCATCGGATGAAAATCAAAATTTGTGAATGTAAAACAAGTACCCGAGATAGTAACTTATCGCTCCTTATGCTTTAAACATATTTTTTTAATTGGATGATCAGAATAAGTGTTTATTGAGTAGTACTTAAGGACAAAACCTTTAATTTCAATTTTCAGTCTGATATTTATCACTTAAAAATTAAATTTAATGACATGCCTGCATACCACTTTGTGCTTGGAGCAAACTTTAAAGCGTAAAAATGTTCATATATATGTATATCTGTACACATACATAACAGACATTCAATTCTACAAAAGTGTCAGATTGAGACTATGCTAGAAGTTCCACTGAACTCCTTGACACTACTTCTTAGGACAGAAAATGCACATTCACCAATTCAGTTTTAATGGCACAAGCACACATGGTAAACTTAATGAAGTTTCATTCATGGCATGTAAAAATCATCAATATGGTTTCTTTTTCGAACTATGCTTTCACTGCATGGACTTACATACTTAACAACCACCCCCCCCCCCCCCACCCTTCAAAAAGGACCCATCAAACTGTATGATTCATATCAAGGGTTCAGTGACACAAAGACGTAACACCATATTTTCCAAAATGAGTATTTGATATAAAAAATGTTCAGATAAATATGGGCTTTCCAGGAAACACCATATTTTCCAAAATGAGTATTTGATATCAAAAATGTTCAGATAAATATGGGCTTTCCAGGAAACACAAAGAATTTAACTCCACCCAACACCCCATTGAAGTCAATGGCTAGTGAAACATAGACTTAACTCCTTAAGGCCCCAGTGCTCATTGACACATAAACCACTTTTTCTCAAAATGGCCAAAATGGAGTTACGTCTTTGTGTCACTGACCCCTCAATATTAAGCTCCATTTGGAATCCCTTGAAATTTGTGGAGGTATGAAGCTGTGATGATGGCATTGTTCAACCCTAAACATCAGCAATCTGCTGCATGCAGAGTATAAAGCTATGGTGATGTACCAAAGGGGAAAAACCCACCGACCCCGAATATACAGTTTGGTAATCACAGATTAGAACTTAAGGACTAGCTCAGGACTTTAGGTGTAACCCTAGCAGCAAGCTGCAGTGGGCCAAACATCTGCCATCTATATCTACAAGAGCTTGCCAGAAGATAGGTGCACAGAGGGAGGTTGCCAAACAACTGAACACTGCAGGAAGATCAATAGTGTGCAAATCACAAGTACCAAGTGACATGGAGCATTCTTCACTATAAATTTCACTTTCATTATTAAATTCCTTGAGCAACACATCTAAAACATACTGGATAATATCAAGAGAAAGGCTCTCCATCATTGGAACTGATGAGACCTCTGCAAACAGTTAAATATCCCAAGCCAAGGTCATCGACAGCAAGTACCTACAGCTACTCCTGTACAAAATGCATAGACAGTTGCCTGTCCATTAGATTTACAGTCTATGCTGCTGCCACCATATCTAAGTCTCTAAGTCTATCCACGCCTTCCCATGCCCTCTCCTTGCCTGATATCAACGCATAAACCCAAGACTGATGTTTCATGCCAGTTGATGTCGTGGATGAGTGGATACGTCGCCGGACTGTCGATCACAAGGTCCGCGGTTCGAATCCCGCTGTGGCACTTATGTCCTTTGGCAAGGTGTTAAATGGGTACCGGTAGGAGGGAATTCCTTAAAATGCTGTGAGCGTCAAAATCGGCAGCCTAGCATAGCCAGGTAATGTTGGAGCGCCTTGAGGACCTTGCAAGGTCGATACATGCGCTATATAAGAATCCAATATTACTATTATTATGTCCAATTTCGCTTGTTCCATTTGTTCCGTTGCACGGTGAAGTCACTAACCTCACAATATACTTTGTACATCGTTAGTGACGTCAGAGTGCAATGGTGCAAATTGATCAAATGGGATTGCACCCCTGGAGAATGATTGCAAGAATCTTAGTAGGTGTTGTATAATTAGTTAAACTGATATGCAGTGAAATACTTGATTGGCCAAACAGAGCTCTCAGTGAGAGTCTGCTGTTTCAACAAATTAAACCATTTCATAAACTTTTTGGTGATGCTCTGGTTCACAGTTTTTGACTTTTTTTAATTTTTTAAATGCACAAGAAAGCATACAGTATTCCACCTACGTCCTGATATTCCAGGAAAGATTTGAACACTACTACTACACCGAAGAAATTTAAACATGACTGGACTGCAGTCCAAAAGATCAAACACAGCTCACATAGTCAACAATTCTTCAATCCACAACTTTGTCCTATCTTTCAGAAGATACACTAGAGAAAAATGCAAGAGCATTGCGGATTGGATGTGAGAAGCAAGTCATTCTGCAGACAAATGATATTATCTGTCTGCCGAATAACTTGCTTCGTAAGTGAATACAATATAAAGTAAGGTGCTCATATAAATCATCAATAAATTACAATATGTGGCACATGTGGACAATTGGTAGGACAAACTCTCTGATTCACCAATGACTGTACTCCTCTGCATATAATACAAAATGTAACTAAAATAAAAATCATTACTGTCAGACTGTATTCAGAAGAAGTGAAGATTTATTACAGGCTGAAAACTCCATCCTGCACCTGATGTTTCCTTATCATACTTGTTATTACATGTAGGCCGAGGCCAGACAAATGCCAGAACATTTTCAGTTTAATACTACGTCCAGCACAAAACTATGGCGGGTCAGTCCCGTCTGACCTTCGACCCACACAAAACTAAACCACCGCCGATGGCGATTTGGTCAGAGTTTGAAGGTAGATCGTGAGCCAGACATCGCCAAGTTCTGAACCTGCCTGGCTTTCGAGGCGGGTTAAACTACACGCTGTTATTGTTTATACATACTACAGGGAAATTCCTGCACTTTGAAACAACCACACATGGTTTAACGCGGACTGACCCTTCCGGTCTGAATGCGCTGATAAAATTTAAGGTGGGTCAAGGGCCGGTTAACTATGAATGTGTTTAAGGCAAGACTGAGCCGGGTAAGTGTCCCGCCTCAAATCTCCCACAAAATTTGAAATCCAGTATGAATGCAGAATTAGACATTCTGATCAACTATGGTCTATGGGGCCCTCTGTGGTGTGAGGATGACCACTTTCCTTTGGGGATGTGCCCCTCATGAAAATAGTCATAGTCGTGTTACCTCAAGCAGCACATTTTCCAACAGACCCTCTTAGTTTGCAACCACAAACCCTTGTCATTTTTTATGCTTAGCCCATCAGAAAGACATAAGTGTCAAATGCCTAAAAAAACTTGTCATAAAATAAGCTCCAATAATAATATTTCTAGACTCCGGTATGACAGACTACATCTACGGCACTGATCAAGGGCCTAATGTAGTTTCGTAAAGCTCCAAATTTTATGTTTGGGAATCATATGGCATCTTAAATTCTACCACTTACCTTAATTCCTAACCACAATCTAGCTCCTAATCCAAACCTATCCATAATCATTGGAAATAAAACATATTTTTTTCAAAGTGGATTTTGGAGGCATTATCGCCGTACTCCACCTCTGAAAATTGTGTAATGAGCAAATTGAACGGCCGCCGGAGCACGACCCCACCAAAGTGCTGGCAGAGAGCGGGCGAATAATGCCTTCGATGTCTGGGCTGTAATGATGACGAGAGGAACGAGTAGATCCTGCCTGTATACAAAACTCAGCTCGAGCTAGATCGGTCAGTATAATGTGAGGGTGCAACGTCACACGGTCACATGGTCTATCTGGATTTTGTGCGGCAAATTTAATAGTTTCAAATTTTGAAATATCCGACATTAAAAAAAAAAATTCATGCTTGGTTTCATCCATTAATTTATTGTTAAGCTGCTGAAAAATTCTTTTTCTCGACAGGAATTGACCTTTAAATGTCACAAGCTGAATGAGATCTGGAGCATTTTTTAGGGTGGAGCTTAGCAGGTCTGAGAAAATTATTTTTTAAAATATTTAAAAATCTATGAAAAAAAATATATTTAGATGTTTGAATAACAAAATATGAGTTGTATGCAGCTCTGCACATCAACAGGAATCAACTTATATTTGATGTCACCCCACCTTTAAAGGTGTCTGCACTATGAGGCTCCAATAGGCTCTGTACTGTACTTTAGCCGCTTCTGACAAGGCAAAGACTGTCTTATCTAGGCTCTTACTAAAGGTGACGAGTCATATAAGAGACTGTGCTTGCAGACTTGGACCATTTGTGGCATTATATATTAGTATACTATACAATGTAGGCTTACAAGAAGATATCTGTTTCAACATGTCCCATAAGTCCTTTGAATTCCAGTGCCAAAATTTACAAAGGGCAAGGGTTAGAATATAATTTTCTTTGGGTGAAAAGTGATTTCATATTGCCATAGCATTTCTCAATAACCAGTTATGCGAACACATGTACAAAATCATAGCTATCTCAGTTAGCATGCTATCTATGGAATGTGGGTTTGTAGAGCAAGGTGGCCACGAACCGTGTTTCTGAAGACCAATAACAACTTACACAACAAAAGACTTGTCAACTTTTTTAACTTTCAGCCAATAGTTGATTGCCAGCCCTCTGTGAAACACCTTGTCATCTCCATGAAATCTCCTTGATGAAGTATGACGAAGAAAAAACTTGACCCAATTCTTGGAATTTTGAAGCAAACGTTTCATTGAACAAGTGCACAGCAAGGGGGATGGGAGACAGAATAAGACTCAGTTTCATCATTGCAATGACTCTTTACATCAAAATTGTTGCACTCGAGCACCATCCTACAAAGTCAAACTAGTCTTGGCCTTTCAGAGTATATGGCAAATGCTTACAATTAAAGCAATCAGCGGGAACAAATTAGTAGGTTTACTCCTTAACTATGACCCTGAACAAATAAAAGAAGTGACACACATCTAAAATAGACTCCATGTTTAGAACGAGAGACCCAAAAGGACAAGAATCTGCTAAAAACAAAATATCACAGACATCCTAATACTGTTCCTTAGAGTTTTGCAAACCATCTTACTAAAAATAAAACTTAGGTGACAAGGGACTTCTCACTCCTCTAAACCAACTATGTTTTTTAAAAGCGAATAGTTGATTGCCAGCTCTCTTTGAAAGAAGCTTGTAAGCTCTATGACATCTCCTTGGTTTGCAAATTGAGATACATGTACGACTGTCATAAAGTTGGTTTTATTCAAGGCATGCAAGGATCACTAAACAACCTTTTCCCCAGAATGTATTGAAGATTCAACATGCATTGTAGATTATTGAAAATGTTATAATTAATGTATGAAGCATATTTTAATGATTACAAAAAGCAAAAAAAGCATGGAAGCATGCCATAGTATAGGTTTATCAACCAGGAAGTATACAGAAGCAATGAGGAAAATAAAGGAGGGGGCTTTTTCACACTTAAAGCTAATCTTGAGCTCTGGTATGGGAATTGTATTTTAAGAGAAAATTGCTATGATTTATTCTGGATTGTTTATCCTGCAGTAGATTGGTTGTTTGAATCAGTGAAATAAAAACAAACGCACAAAAACTTACTGGACATCATCTTCGATAAAAACCACGATTCACGTTAGCACGTAGTGACCTGTGTTAAAGACACTCAGTAGTTAGCTCTCATGGGGAATTCAACACCGTTCGGGTACCCAATAAGAGGTGCTGTCAATCACTAGAATTAGCCTTAAATTTTTTGACCACCAGGCCTTATGTAACTTACTGCGTTTTCCCCCCATGCCCCCACACGGTTAAGCCATTATCTCACTTTTCCGTCACCCGAAGACTCTCAACAGACGAGGGGGTATTTCTTGATTGGCCTACGGGTTCGCTGTGTGCAGACCTAATACCTGTACACACGTTAATGATTTATATTATCCACCAAGTCTGGTCGCCAGTTAAGAAGGGCTGGTTTATATGTTACAAGGAAATTTAGATTTCACTATCTAAAATGCAAAAGGAGCTCCCATGATGGCTGAAGAAAAAATAATTTGGAAACTAATCTAGATTCTAAATAGTATACTAGAAATTCAACGATCTCAACTTCTTAGGCAACACAAAATTGGGACAGCGTCTCAGATCTCACCAAAGTTAAGGAAAAGAACCATCATAAACTTAAGTTCATGAACATCACATTGAGATGAATGTTGTGAAATTTATACACCTTTTAATGAGATGTCAGTGCAAGTAAGACAATGTCATAATTTCCTAGCTTAATCCAACTCTTGAGTCTTAAATATGATTTAAAAAGATTTAAGTTTCAAACATTTCTGTATTTTCACTTCAGTCTTTCAGACATAAAACTGGATCTAACCTTCAAACTTAGAACATATTCTAATCAATGATATAAATAATCACATAACTTAACTTCATTCTGATTTCTGACTGTTTAGATCTAAGGTACATTTGATCGAATATGGATGGCAATCGTCAGCTGTACAAGCCGCGATGAATGATTGTCAACAAACAACAGGCATTCAATATTCGCGGCTGCGTATCATTCGCGTGCAAACAGCACCAAAGGCAATGAATTTATTTGTGGTCCCACATGTAGACATTTTAGTCATGTTGTGTCAATAATTACTCTACAACATGGCATTTTCGGACGAAGAATTTGACCATAATAAAATAAAAACATATTAAAAAATTCATACTAAGTGATTAAAAAAGGATACCCTCCATCTTCAGCCTCATTACTTGTGGCTCCTCCTTTTCTCGCGACATTTCAGGCACCATTTCTTCACCTGTCCTGTCACTTTTCTCGTCGTTTTCTGCATCTAAGAATGGAGATTAGCGGGAAAACATACGATCAACAAGAGGTTTCCAACTACTTTTTGAACACTAATCAAGTATAAAATAACACGAACGAGGGTTCAATATATTGCTTAGAAAGTATACTTTACCTTCATCTTCCTGATTTGTGACCTTATCGGCCCAACTGGACCAGGACTGGCCCAGAAACATCGATGGACTACTTCTTTCTAGGCTCGCCATTGCAGTCCTGTGTGTTCCATGACCATGTATCCCATCGTTCTCTACGTGTGACGTCACTTCAGCTTCCACTTCTTCTTGAGCGAGTTTCTTCTGTCAAACTTTCACACTTTTGTTCTAGCTTTTATCATCTTTGTCAAGTAGTGCAGATTCATTATACTTGCTGTTCATTATTTTCTCCAATTACAATTATATATTCTATCAATATATGCATGACATTATGATGGATCAGATCTGAATCTAGATATATTTGCCTTTGGGTACAAAGACTCCTAATCGTACATCTTTCTTTTCATGATTGCATCAATAAGGAGAGGCAGGATGGGGGGTTAAGCACAAAGGTTGTGTCAATCTATCCTTTCTGCCAATACGGCCGTCATAAACATGTTAAAAGACAGTCGCCTTGCCCTTTTTGTGTTCTTTGATTAATCACATTCTATTTTGATGAAGTATGAAAATTACGATTTATTTTTTATTTTTTTAAATACAATACATGTGGATCAACGTACACCATTCACCTTTACCCCGAACCTATCATTATTCACTTGCCTAACTCCACTGCAAGGTGGAGGGAAGATTAATTGATATTGCATAATGCGTACCCCTATAGTAACTGGGAGAATTTCTAACATCCCCCTTCCCCCTTAGCTATAGGCTATATAGTACTAGAACTGGAGACTTGTACATAGCTTTTTTAAAATAAATCCTGTATACTGTAGAGTTCTTTATTCGTTCTTACCAAACATATTCTAATGAAAACAATAATGGCTGTACAATGTTTTTTACAAGGCTAGACAAAAAGTTTATCCCAATGTTACTGTTTGATGCTCATATTGGTGTATTTATATGCCCTAATTGTTTAATTGTATTCATTATCATTTTTACAGGCTATATTAGGCTTATAGGCTACAGGTATGTTTTCAAAGGGGAATTGCCTCAACAATCAAAATGGTTTGTAGGGAAAAGCGGAGTAATTTAAAAGCAGATGTAGTGAACTTAATTTACGATATATTCAAGGAATGTATATGACCATGACGGTGTTAATCAATGTGCCAAGTATGTGTGAGTCTATAATTTTGTCTTTTTTGTTAATATTATGATTATAATACTGCCCTGGCGACAACAAATTCGCGAGAGAGAAGGGCATACGAAAAACCAAATTAGCCTATAGCTTAAAGGCTCATAATTTGGCCTATGCACATTCAGTATCAATAAAGTTGCATTGTTCTTATTTTTTATGATATCATTAAATCAACAAGGGTGCGTAGGGGAGAAGGAAAAAGATGGAGAGAGAGAAACTGAAAGGAAAACAGGAGAGAGAGAGAGAGAGAGAGAGAGAGAGAGAGAGAGAGAGAGAGAGATGGGGAGGGAGATGGGGGCCCTCGGGAGCGCACAAGATATATTTAGGGTGTGTAAGAGGTGACAGAATGAGAGAGAAAAAAAGGGGGAAGGGTACCTAGAGAGAATGTGTGAGCAGAGGCGGCGCTCCTGGGGGCAGGTGGGCAGTGCCCCCACTTTTTCGAGAACCCCGAAAGTGCCCCCTTTCTCATAGGAAAAGTGCCCCTTTAAATTTGTAAGAAGTGCCCCATTTTACATACGAAAAGTGCCCCTTTTACTTTGAAAAGTGCCCCTATTAATTTTTAAAAATTGCCCCTTCCCCTCATTATCCCTTTTATTTTTACACGCTCCACTTTTCCTTTGACAAGTTCCCATTTTCCTTTACAATAAGTGTCCAATGTACATTCTCATAAGTGCCTTTTTTAATCTCCAGTAAGTTCCCCTTTTCACTTTTGATAAGCCCTTCACCTCTGATAATTGCCCTATTCAAATCTGAGAGGTTCCCTTTCGCTTTGACAAGTTCCCCTTTCCCTTCTCATAAGTGCTCCTTTTCATCTATGAAAATATTTTCTTCTCATTCTCATAAGTGCCCCTTTTCATCTCTTGTAAATGACCCTATTCAATTCGGAGAGATACTCATTTACTTTGACAAGTGCCTCTTCCCCTCCTGATAAGTGCTCTTTTCATCTCTTATAAATGCCCCTTTTATCTCCTAATAAATGCTCTTTTTCCTTTTTTATAAGTGTCCCTTCCCCTTTTCATAATTACTCCCTTTCATCTTTGATAAGTACCCCGTTTATTTTAACATGTGCCTCTTTTTCTTTTTAATAAGAGCCACTTCCCCTTTCTCATAAAAGCCCCCTTTCATCTCCGATAAATGCCCCTATTAAAATCTGATCGGTGCCCCTTTTCTTTCAACAAATCCACATTTCCCTTTATCATTAGTGCCCCTTTTTCATTCTCATAAATGCCTCTTTTCATGCCTGGTCAGTGCCCCTTTTCAGATGCGATAGTCCCACTTAATTTTCACCTCTGATAATTACCCTTTGTACTTTGCTTGTACTTTGCTCCTTTTCTTTTCTAATAAGTGTCTTAACCCTTTCGATATGTGTCCCCTTTTCCTCTCATCATTAAACATGCCCCTAATTTCAAGCGACTAAGACTAAGAGCAGTTTCCCCCCAAAAGCTCGCTCGCTACGCTCGCTCGTAGTTAAGGATGTTATAATTATGTAACTTATCAAACGTCTTTTCAGTCTTCCGTTATGAGAATGTGCTCACAAATAAATTTTCAGACCATCACACCAAACTGCAAAGTATGATGCTTAAGCAATATCTTTTATGATGTATTGAAATCATCCCTGATAACGTAATCACAATATAGGGGTATATACCAATGTCTAAAAAATGGTATATTTTCGCATTGAGATGTCCCTTTGAAGGTGCCCTTTTTCTCTCCAGAAAGTTCCCTTTTTTGTTGGTGCCCCCCCCCCCCCACTTTGGAAGTCGCTCTGCCGCCTCTGTGTGTGAGGGAGATAGAGATAGAGAGGGGGGCCGTGGTGGGTGAAGGAGAAAAGGGGAGAGAGAGACGGACAGGATGGAGGACGTTGAACAGTATGTGACAACGTTATAATTGACCCTTCGATTGCTATCATTTTTTAGAAGAAAAAAGGATGGGAACATTGTTTGTGCTGGCTCGCGAGCGTAGGTGTGACAGGCCAGGGGAAATTAATTTTCACTTACAAAACTCATATACCATGGTTACGACATTTGTGTGTATGGAAGTCACTCATGACCACATTGCTCTCAAAGACCAATAATTAAGTATTGATATTTTCCCAAAATGTCCACTCGATCCATCTCGAATCCCAGGCCTAGCATGGGACTCACGCTACCGTCCGACTAAGTATCTAATTTATTTATAGGCCTATGTGTTTTCAGGTTCTATGGAAATGAGTGGGGAGCCCCTTTTCAAGACCTGTCACGTCGGGATACTTCAGACAGAGCGTATCCTTATTTCAGTCTTTCAAAAGTCGGCAAAATAAAAAAAAATTCACCCTTTAAGAATAGCCTGAGTTTCGATTTCCAAATTTTTCATAAGATGACAAAAAAAGTTCCTCCATCCTTTGGTAGTTACCCATGATTTCCTTTCTAAAAGGAAATGTTGTTTAAAAGGGAGAAATATAATCAGTGGTGTATCCAGGATATGGGGGGGCACAATTGTGAAAGAAATACACAAGTAAGGGTCACAATTTTGACTGTCTACTTAAGGTTTACCATTGGGTTTAAAAGAGGTGCACCCCCCCCCTCTAGATATAATAATTACCAGTCATCACATGAATTTCAACCTTCGCTGGGAAGAACCCATATCCCTCTTCCATCCCACTCCATCCAAGTTTGAAACATTTATCTTTTCCTGTAAGATTTAATTATATTAGTAAAGTGAGAAAAATTTCTTTACGGTTGGATCTGATGCGAAGGAAGCACATTTTTTTCTCATCAATTTAGTCGTTTCGTCCGCTGTGGAAAATCTCTTTTTTTTTTAAAAATGATTAATCATATTACAAAAATTCTCGCTCGACCGGTACGCTTCAAAATAAATACTTCTCGTGTTCTTTCTATAGAATGTATGATACAAGTGTATCAAACCAGTAATATACAAACCTGTGCTAAGACTGTTTAATTCAGGCGAATAGACAGTGTTTAATTCAACTTGTTATTTTTAAAAAGAAAGCGGACTTTTGTATATTCCTTTATCTCCGTTGTTTTATGCAATGCACTTAGGAAATAGAACAACACAATCATTAGAATATTTCATTTTCTGACATGAATTTATTAATAAACCCGATGATTATGAATATTGGATATATTCGTGTCCCCTTAATTTGAGAAGAGTCATAGTCAAAACATAACTCAACTTTTAAAGGACTAGAGATGAGAAAACGAACGAAAAAAAAACTTTCACTAGATCCACGTACTGACGGTTATTTATCTGTTTACATTATCATTATTATCAAAAGCTATCTTTTGATACAGCGATGCACACCTGAAAAAATATGGAACGAAAGGAAAACGTACAAGAATCAACAAAATCAAGAGACGGGTGAATAACAGTTTAGCGAACCAGCAGCTGCTTACGAAAACAAAGATGCCGACGTCAATATATTCGGATGACTATATTGTTTGGAGAGATATATATACATCATGTACATGTATAACCGTTTCTTCTCTTTCTTGACATGATACTATAAGCGAGGCAAAAACATATTAACATGTGGTGACGTAGCTGATTCCTCCGTCGAATAGCGAATATGTAGTTTTTATTTTTTTGTTGGTGAAAGGGTAAAGAGAGAACGATACAAAAAGAGAGGAAATGAAAGCAGGGGCGGATCCAGGATTTTCCAAGGGGGGGGGGGGGCGTGAAATGTACGAAGTTGCGAGCGCGAAGCCTTAGTACGGCGTGTAGGTCCAATGGCCCTTAAGGGAAAATTTTGAGCATTAAGATGCTCTATGGTACATTCTGAGGCATTTCTGATCGAATGAGTAAACCGAACGTTAATGGGAATATTTTGTTTAGGGGGCGTGGGGGCGTGGGGGCGTGGGGGCGTGGGGGCGTGGGGCGTGGGGATCTGCGCCTGGAAATTGGTTTAAAGGTGAACAAAAGGAAAGTGGAAGCTTTTTGCTGCTTTGTTCTCTTGACTTTCATTTATTTGGGAAAATATGTGACGCCTCACCAATGCTCTGACCCCTATTGTTGTATTTAGAAGACGGCATTTACAAACTTTCTTAATGAGAAATCCTCCCCGAGTCTGTTTTAATTTAATTTCATGAGACATAATGAATATAACTGATCGACCAACTTTCTTTATAGTTAATTATATTTTCTTCTGCTCATTTTTTTCCTCGTCTACTCTCTTATCTCCATTTCAATTCGCTTCTACCTGTATTCTCAACTACTTTTTATTCTCCTTTTGCTTTGATCTCCCTAAGCAATTTTATTTTTAAAATATGTGAATATTGAATTGTTTTCTTTCGGCACAGCACTCTTTTGTGTTTGTCTACCCTTAAAATGATTATCCTACTTAATTGCATAACAAACATATGATATACATGTAAATAATAATAACTGCGTCTTATTTATTGATTCTACTCTTCCTGCAGGCCTTGCAATTTTGATTACTCCAGCAATTGTCAGGTACCCATTTACATCTGGGTGGAGTGGCAAAAGTGGATTAATGTCTTGCCACAACATGTTTTGATTGTTTTTTGGGGCTGGGATTCAAACCCTCAACCCTTGGCTGCAGAGGCGGTGCTTCCGGGGGCAGTGGGTGGTGTGGCACAGTGCCTCCACCTTTTCAAGTACCCCAAAAGTGCCCCCTTACGTAGGAAAAGTGCCCCTTTCACTTTGACACGTGCTCCTTTTCCTTCGACAAGTTCCCATTTTTCTTTGCTATAAGTGTTTATTTTTCATTCTCACAAGTGCCCTTTTTAATCTCTAGTAAGTCCACCTTTTCAGGAACGAGAAGTGCCCCTTTTCATTTTTGGTACTTGCCCCCTTCATCTCTGATAATTGCCCTATTAAAATATGAGAGGTGCCCCTTTTAATTTGACAAGTGCCCCTTTTCAATTGTAAGAAGTGCCCCTTCCCCTTTCAATAACTAACCCCCCTTTTTTTACTAAGATAAGCGCACCTTTTACTTTCACATCTGCCCCTTTTCCATTCTTATAAGTGCCCCCATTAAAAGAGAGCCTTTCCCCTTTTTATCTCTGGTAAATGACACTTTTCACGTACGAGAAGTTACTTATTGTCACTTCAGATAAGTGCCCCCTTCACCTCCGATAATTGCCCCTAATCAAATCTGAGAGATGCTCGTTTTACTTTGACAATTGCCCCTTCCCTTACTGATAAGTGCTCTTTTCATCTTCCATAAGTGCCCTGTTTATCTTAACATGTGCCTCTTTTTCTTTTTAATAAAAGCCTCTTCCTCCTCATAAAACCCCCTTTCACCTCTGATAAATTATGCCCCTATTTAAATCTGAGTGGTGCCCCGTATCTTGCAACAAAATTGTGCCCCCTTTTCACCTCCAATAATTTAATATTAGTGGGTGCTTGTATAGCACTCATATCTGTCAGACTTGACGCTCCTTGCGCTTCCTTTTAACAATGATAAGTGCCTCTCTCCTTTCTAACAGGGACCTATCCCCTTTTCACCTCTGATAAATGCCCCCATCAAAATCTGATGGGTGCCCCTTTTCCTTCGACAAATACCCATTTTCCATTCTCACGAGTGCCTTTTTTCATCTCTCGTGAGTGCCTCCCAGGAGTGCCTCTTTTCAGGTGTGTGTAGTTTCCCGTTTTCACCTCTGATGATTACCCTTTGTACTTTGACACATGCCCCTTTTGTTTTCTAGTAAGTGTCTTTATCCCTTTTGATAAGTGCCCCCTTTTCCACTCATCATTAAACGTGCCCCTATTTTAAAGCGACTGAGAGCACCTTTTCCCTAAAGCTTGCTTATAGATGACATAATCATGTATCTTATCAAAGGTCTTTCCAGTCTTCCATTATGAGAATGTGCTTATGACTCAATCAAGATTGGGGTTTTAAGATGTAATTTTTTTGCACTGCGACCTCACAAATCTTTAAAAAAAAATCCTTGCTCGCAATAGAATATTCAGACCATCACACCCAACTGCAAAGTATGATGCTTAAGCAATATCTTATATGATGTATAAAGATACAAATATTGAAATCATCCCTGATAATAATGTATTCCCAATGTAGGGGTATATACCAATGTCTAACAAATTGTATATTTTAACTTTAAGATTTCCCTTTGTAGGTGCCCTTTTTTTCTCAAGAAAGTACCTTTTCTTTTTGATGTCCCCCCTGCCCAACTTTGGAAGTCGCGCATTAATTTTTTTTTTTTTTGTTGGCCGGGGGGGGGGGGGGGGGGGATGTCCCTGTTTGCCAGTACATTTTTTGCGAATTTGGGGCTGATTTCAACATATTTTTTTTGGCCGGGGGCACATGCCCCCTCCTCTGGATCGGTCACTGTGGTACTTGTAGGAAGTCCCATGAATAATTACATTAAAACTTTGAACATGTATCTTAATTAATTTGTCTTCTCCCACTAACATTATAATTACAATATATTTTCAAGACAAGAAAAGAAGACATATTGCAGTATAATAACTGAAGATATTTGTGAATATCTCACTGCATGTAAATGTTACTCAGTGAATATCCATTAAATTGTGATCTAAATTAATTTGTCTTCTCCCACTAACATTATAATTACAATATATTTTCAAGACAAGAAAAGAAGACATATTGCAGTATAATAACTGAAGATAATTGTGAATATCTCACTGCATGTAAATGTTACTCAGTGAATATCCATTAAATTGTGATCTACATTTTTAATCCTTGTTTCTGAAAGTCTGTACCCCGATCAAGACAAATAAATGTGAGTCATGAAGCAACTGTCATAATGGTTTAATGAGTACCCATTGAAGTCTCTCTTTATTGCAGAGTCTAATACAACACATTGGATACAAATAATGAGGGGGGAATTAACAGAGAGAAAGGGGGAAAATGTTTTTGCAAGCATTTAATTTGAGAAGTATGATGTGCTCATGTACTGAGCTGCACTTCCTTGACCTCGTTAGCAGAGTCAGGCAACAAATATCAATATACAGTTCTCAGATATAGGGATTCATTCTTGAATGTGTCTATCTAACAAGTTTTATGATAAACATTGATTGAATTTCAAACACAGCTTAGCTTTCATAGCACAAAGGCTTTATTTCTCTAGCAAAAAAATTGAAATGGTTGTAACATTGACCTTCTCGATATATGATTCCTTCAATTGGAATTAAGATAATTTACATTTGAAATGTTAAATTAGACAACAGAAATGTCTACTGATTGGTCTTTATCGCTTTCCCCCATTTTTTCACCAAGTGCAAGAGAAATACAACATACAAATATCATTTGATCTAGATCCTCTACGTCTACCCTTCAGATTCAAACACATCTTTTATACACATATATATTTACAGCATTCTAAGGACAGAACAGAAAGAAAACAAAGAAAATTGTAACCAAGCCCAAGGCCTAAACTTGTTGGGTTGCTACATGTATTAGAAGCCCAGTGACTGCATGCCAGGTTGACTGTGGGAGTTGGTGTTTCTGGTATGACCTTTCGAAAAGCAGGGAACTAATCGCGGTGGGCTCTCCACGACATACACCACTACTCATTAGAGAAACTTACTGTGGGATATCCAAGTCTCATTGCCCAACTTGGGCATCTTCTATCTTAAAATGCATGCAGTAACTGGAAAAAAATACATATCCAAACAGGCTCGTCTTTTCAAAATGAAAAACATAGATTTTCTTTCAAAAATGATTACTGCAATCGCCATATGACTGGTAACTTCCCATATTCTATTGTTGCATTCGCTTAAGTCGGTTGTTGTATTCATTTATGCCTCTTTCATTGTGATGGACAATCAGAGCTAATGCCAATTTACAAATGTCCACGTACATGTATAAACAAGATTGTACAAAAAGAAGAAATACAAAGAGAAGATGTTCTTACCCAAAAGCGAAAAAAAAAGATGATTGTTTAGAAAGAGACACCATTTTGTCTCGCTTAAATACATGCATGATTCATTAAATATTTCACAATTTGCAAAGTACAAGGAAAATCAATTTACATCACGAGACAGTCAAGGATAGGTGATTTGTCAATCTATGTTATTGTTACATCATTAATGTACCTGTATTTGTACAAAGTCTTCAACTTTTTGCACTTTGATCATCATCTAAACATCAATATTTTGTAGATCAAAACCTTGCTTTGTAACCCAAGCTGAATCAAATATTAATCACTCACCACAAATCAATCATGGGAAGCATTCTATGTGGAACATACATTGAAAGTGAATTTTTTTTCTTCTATATATACAACTTTTCTCTACATGCTCACTGTTTAGTTGAAGGCAAATACGGTTAACATGACCAAAGAAAGAAAGAATATGCCCTTCCACAAGTTGTTGTTTTCCTCTTGTTGTTTGTACAAGAAGGAAAAGTGAAAATCAAAACAAAAATTTTGCCTCTCCATTCGGACATCTTTTGAATGTTATGCACTAGTTTATAAGATTGTCGTCAACACGTTTATGCCTCTGATAGATAGTATTAATTTCTGCGACAAGATTTCAAACACATTCAGCATGTGCACTGCCACATATTTCACTGTGCAAGCACAATAATATACAATTATCAACTCAAGAAAATGAATGCATTTCCATGACAACATGATACATATTTACAAGATGAACAATCAAATTGAATATTTGAACCTCTTGTTTAAGAAACAGGAACAGAAACAAGATACAAAATGAATTTAAAGAAATCATGCACCGGTTTCAAACACAAAGAATTTGAATGGGTTATGAAGCCAACATAAGCGACTCAAGAGGTAGACGTTTGCAGTGTAACATGGTTTGTATGGTTCCAGTTTGTTGCTGAAATATTGTGAGTATCACTGTGGCTGAGGCTAGTATGTAATGTTATTCATTGAGTAGATTGAGTCAACATTATGTAATGTCTGTACGTAAACAACCTGCAACAGTAATCAATTTGTATATAGTCATTACATGGTAAATGAATGTGAACTTCTTTATGTCATATACATACTACATTACATGAAGTCTAAGTGAAATTTCACATTTTCTGTAGTTTTTTGCTCCGAGTATGTTTATAAAGCTTTGCAAATACTTAATTTCATGTACATGTGCTAATAATTACACACAAGATCTCCTCTTGTTAACATTGTATACTGTATCGAAAGCCTATATCTTTTCTACCTTCTAATATCCCTCGATGACATGTTGTCAAACTGTGCAAAAACAGAACTTAGTCATCCAAGAAATCAAACGACAGAAATCACAACCATCAGTTAAAAAAACATCAACACATGTTTTTGTGATATAAAAAGATAGTAAACCATCATTTGCTAACAAATTTAGAATCACAGAGTATGACCTATCTGTATTTGATTAGTACATGTCTTTCCACTTGCCCTACCTCACTTTTTTAAAAAGTGAAAAGTAACTTTCTTAAGTTGCAGTATAAACAATGAAGTAACGGAACATGTGGAAATCGTTTGGGAAATGGATGACTAAATTTATTGTGAAACACATCTTTCTATTTTGCTATAAGAACTGTAGTAATGAATTAGATCTGTCATGATTACATGACATTAAGTCTTTGCCATCTACTTTTCATGATGTCTATACTCAGTTCTGATCATCTGGGGGGCGTTTCACAAAACTTGTCATCAGTGACAGATGACAGTTTTTGTTATAAGCTACTGAAATCCTTGCTTCTGATTGGTTATCAGCAGACTTGTCACTGATTTTTGTCTTTTGTCATTAAAAAAAGGCTTTGTGAAACGCCCCCCTGATCATCTGAAATACTCCAGCTTCTCTCATGATGACTCCATTTGCTCATCACTCACATCACATACTCTCTCTGGGAATGTCTCCCCTGTGCCTTCAGACTCTTGCCTTGGTTCACTATCTAGTGACTCTGTGACCTCCATTGGCTCCGATGGTTCACTTGGAGGAGTCTTGTCTTCTTCTTCCTGGATCAGTGCAGGAGCATCAGGTGCCTTTGAAGAGGCACACTGAGTGGCAATTGGTTCAAGTTCAACTGGTTCTACAAGTGGTGGTTCAAGAGTCTCAACTGTATCTGGTAAATTACTCTCAGGTTCTTTGATGAGAGTTGGTGGTGATGAAGGCTGTGCTACTAGTGTATCATCCGATACTGCAGGTGGCACTTCATTCTCATTGCTTTCGGAGGAGGACTGTGAATCAGTCGGCTGAATAGGTTCTTCTGGCAAGTTCTCAGATTCTACTGCTACTTTAACATCATCTGGAGGTTGCTCACTTTCTGTGCCAGAGTTCTGACATGCTTCTATGGCAAGCTGCACTTCCATTTGCTCACTTGATGGAGAGAGTGGTTTTGGATCGACCTTCCTCTCGGAATCTGGAATTTCAGATGCCTTGGTTTCCACTTCTTCGTTTGATGTGACAGCATCTACAGGCATGGGTTCCATATCATTTTTAGATTCAGAAGTGTCCTTTAAATCATCTGATTGTGACATATGGATACTTGTACCGTCTGGCACAGTGTTCTCACATTTTGGATCTTCAGTAGTCGAGGGATCTTGGATGGCTTCACTAACTTCTTGGCCTATCTCCAGCAAGGATGCCGCTGCAACAGTTTCTGACTTTACAACAGTGACACTCGCCTCCGATTGTACACTTTCACACAGCATTTGGGATGATGCTACACTTGCTTGTGGCTGCTCATTTGTTGACATAGGCTCTTGTGGATCTATTATCTTTGCAGAGGCCGCAGAGTCTTCTTTCTGGGTTTCAGATCCTTCATCTGAAGGTTTCGATGTGATGAGTGGAACAACAACAGCATGTGGGCTGGGCTTCACTTCAGTGATTTCAGAGCTTGGTTTTGTGACAACCTCAAGTTTTACACTCTGCTTCTGAACCAGAACCTGATCATTTTCTTCACACACCATCTTATTCTCTGTATCTTTGTCCATAGGGAGGATGCTTTCCACAGCTTTCTGCACTGACATTGCAGATTGAGAAGTTATATCTAACTCGGTTGGACCATCTTTGGTCATTTCGCTCTTACTGGTGAAGATCAGAGGTGATTTCCTGTCTGCCAAAGTAAGGGCTGGTGACTTCCTACCAGTGGCTGCATGCATGGTTACTGTTGCAGGGGAACTTCTTCCAGTGCTTAGCGTGAGAGGAGAATTCCTACCAAGGGACATGGCTGATGGTGTTTTACGTCCGCTAGTGGACAGAGCTGGAGAACTCCTACCAGATGTCCCTTGTGCCTCTTCCTTCTTCGGTACAAGTGTAGGAGAGTTTCGTCCACTGGACACTGTGGCAGGGGAGCTCCTGCCACTGGATCTACCTGAAGAGTGTACCTTGACCACTCCTTGTGTCATGGCAACAGTCTTAGTGATGATTTCTTGAGAGGCTGTTGACGTCATGGTCTGTTTGATAGGGGTAGTAACTGGGCTTGGGCTAGTACTGTCAGTCCTCTGCTTTGGTTTCTGTCCACCTGCCTTCTGGAGTGCACGCTTCTTAATACATATTCTGCAGACAAAGTCTTCATCTTCATCTGGTTGTTGCTTCATACCTGCACAAATGATCCAAAATAATAGACATACGATTACCATTAAATAAGGGTAGAGATAATCACAGACTAAGACACAAATATACATCACTGTTTTTTTTTTACAGTAGTTCCTATCCATGAAGACTTCTTTTCATTCCAAGAAGCCTATTACAGAATTTAACTCACGCTCTGTTCCAAAGTCATACGAATGCTGATTCATTATCAATAGGTTCAATGATATATCACAAGCAAAGTAAATAAAAAAAATAAAAAAAATAATGATTCCTCTAATACCTCAGACAAAACGACAAGAATGACGACAGACTGATATTAGACCAAAAGCAGAAACAAAGATTTTGTCAATTATTGGACAGTCTGGAGTCAGTTTAGCAATGTATAACATGATCAATATCTTACCGATGCAGAGCAGATGATACCACTTTTCACAGCAATCACACTGCACCCAGTTGATATCATCACCCAGGGGTCTCAGACACTTCTTAGCAGAGCACACTTCATCATCTTCATCTTCATCTCCATCAACATTGACTATGAGCTCATCCTTAGTGTCCTCCTTCTTGATAGGCAGGTTACCTGGACCTAACAGCTTCTCACCTGCAAATCATATGTCAAAATCAAACGTTATTATTCATTTGATTGAAAAAGAATTATAAAGCTGGTATTTTCTTTTGTGAGATATGAATGATGCAATAGATGGCAAATAATCTATTTATTAAGATTTATCCTTTTTTATATAAAAAATTAGGCCCATATTCTACTAACTTAGTTAAACATGAAGCAAGGCCTATATAGTCACATGCAACAGAGGGAAAACATAGACATCAGTCTAAAATCCTATGCTAGCTTTGACTTTGGACCAACTTAAACCCAGTGGCAGGTTTAAATTTCAGTAGAATACACAATTCAGTATTTTCTTCAAAAATTAAAATGATTCTCACGAAGTTGATATCTGGCATGGATTATAGTGTACCTGGAAAAGAATATTGATGTTACTGTGACCTATTGCAATGTCATCTTAAGCCAGACATGAGTATATAAGTATCATCTCCTCATCATGCAAACTATAAAATAATTTAAATCACAAAATTGCATTATTGTTTTTTCATGGTTGAACGTTGATATGAGACATGGCATAATATGAGCAACAGATATGTGTCACAGAATATGATGAACAAAGCTACAGAAATTTGGATTTTCAGATAAATGGCTCAAGAAATCATTTTCAGTCAGAACGATCCACTGATTGATATTGTACTCTCTAACATTGTATACTACTCACCCTTCTTCCTCTTCATTTTCTTCTTCTGTTTCTCTTTGTTCTCCTTGCCCTCTTTCTTCACCTTCTCTCCTAATTTCTTCTGGGGTGTCAAGGGAGCAGACCCGGGGGGAACCAGTTCCTTCTCCTTCTTCTCTTTCTTCTTTTTCTTCTTCTCCAGTTTCATTTCAGCTGACATGATCTCTATGTCTTCCTTCTTGCGTTTCAGTTTCATCTTCTTCTTCTCCTTGGCCTCCGATTTGACCTTGAGTTTCTCCAGGCTTTCAGGTGGCATTTGCTACAGAAAGAGAGAAGGATATCTTTACCATTGCAGATCAAGACAATGGCAGGCCTCTTGGGAAACGCTGTGCTATTGTACAGTAACTTGTATCACCTACATCAGTGTGTTGGGCCACAATCAGAGACAAATCTCTGAAGGCTTGACAACGGTTCGAGGTGACTGGAGTTAATCTAGCATGGGAATCTGGCCAAGTAAAGCTATTTGAAAAGCTGTCTTGGAATCCTGCATTTCCATGCACTATAATATGCACTATTTCTAAAAAGATATATCTGTGATAATTGTTAAACATACAACAAAATTGTGTATGATTTTAAACAGCACATTTAGGATACTGATGACAATCTTGTGTTGTTTCATAGCAATATGAATGACAGCAATCAACCCCATCAAGAAGATAAAACTACTTTTGTGCTCAAATTAACCGAAATACAGATGCTGTCCAAAGGAATCTCTTGATTCACAGTATGACCACTGAGACAGGAAAAGTGACCTACCTCCAGAATGTGTTCCATGAAGCGTTCCTGCTGGACCGGTTGGCATGCCTGTAGGACACGCCATAGCTGCTGAGTGTCATCCAAGGAGACTTCTAGCAGGTCCCCCTCTACCATCAGATCCTCTAGCTGAGCCCTAGCATAGAGAGACAGCTCCAGAGTGGCTGAAGATTGGGAGCCAGTGGAGGAACCCAAGGGGGGTGGCGGAGATGTTGGGTCCATAGTACGAGGAATCAAGGGGGTCTTTCTGGGGTGCTTCTTGGAGGGCTTATTTGAAAGGGTGACAAAGTAGGGAAATAATTATTTTGCCATCAAAATTAGACAAGATGATACTCTACAACCCTATTCCAAGAATTGGTACATTAGAAACTGGATCTGACATTCACTGGTAACATATTGAGAAGTAATATTAACGTGTTGAAACTATCTATACTGTTTGTTTGTCATTAACCACAATTTTAACTGTATCACACTTAATCTCTTGACATCATCAAAATATTTTGTTTGCCATTAAAGTACAATTCTAACTGTATCACTATAACTTAACTGTAACACATCTTACCTGAGAAGGTGCTGGTTTGGAGGCTGCACTGTAAGCATGTTCTGATGCAAAGCCTGTGTCCATTCCACTGGACATCACAGACGGAACATCAACCCCTACATCATCAGAGGACACATCCATAGTGATAGATACACCCATGTCCATGTCAACCTGTTCTTCCTCCTCATCTCGCCTCATCCCCTCAGACTTTGTAGGAACGGGTGGCATACCATGTAGGATGGAGTCATGGTGGACACCGTTACTTGATTCAGCAACCATTGCTGTGATGCTTTCCACACGCTCCTGAAGCTCTGGCTTCCTGGCTGCTTTCTTGAGCTCTGCTGAGATGATGCGTTCTGTCTTGGCTTTGGCTGCCTGCTCCATCATTTTTTGGCTCATGGAGGAGAGCCTAGTGAGGGCATCTGAGAGTTCATCTGTTGCTAGTGCTTGCTTGGCACGGTCCTGCCAGTTCATGGCATGTTCTGTCAGTCTCTGGAGGGCTTCTCCCTCAGGCAATCTCACAGGAAGCTTCTGAAGAGACACCAGAAGTGATAAGATAGTCTCTAGGCGAGGCCTGCGTGATCTCAAGCACATTGGACAGAGAAACTTGACATCCTTGATGTTCTGGACACCACTAGAGGTGGAAACATTACTTCCACCAAGACCGTTGGAAAACTTTGACTTGTTGGATGCCTTTGGCAAGGGAACACAGGTTGTGTGGAACCAGTCCTTACACAGTTCACACTGAAGCATGAAGCCACTGACTGGCTTACGACACACACAGTACTTGCCCTGCTCTACACCATCCTCCTCAAGCTGTTGTTTGCGACGATTCTTGTCTCTTAAGGTGTTGATTGCATCCAGCTCTTCAATCTCAGCATTCTTGTAAGATGCCATCTGAAAAATCATAAAGAGAAATTAACAAATATAAGTTCCTCAATACAGGTGGGAAAAGAAAAATAAATGGCACAAAAGCTAACAAGATTATTGATTCATAAGAAATTGAAAAAATATATAAAAGCATAATCCTTCAATCTGTCAAAGGGTACCAAATTCTGTATCACCTACATCAGTGTGTTGGGCCACAACCAGAGTAATCTCTGAAGGCTTTGACAATGGTTCGAGGTGACTGGGGTTAATCTAGCATGGGAATCTGGCCAAGTAAAGCTATATACACAGCTAGACTGGAATCCTGCATTACCATGCACTGCACTAAACCATCTGCCATTCCAACAATCATTATTAGTGGAAATATAGTTTGACTGTAGTTCTGGCAATTCAAACTTTGTAGGCTTTTTTCATATGTACCCATTATCAAACACATTCAAACACAATATGCATGAGCAAAGTTCCTATCATTTGTACTTACAAAGGTGGCTGGGTCCCTAGATCCACTGGTACTGCTATCAATGTCCACATCCGTTGCATACTCCTTCTCCTGCTCCTTCAACCTCTCCATGTCCTTCTGTTTCTTGCGCCTGGCCTTCCCTGACAGGTACTGACCGATATCTGCTCTCGGAGACAGCACCTCTAGGAGAGTGTAGGAGGAGTTCTTCTTGAGAAAGGTACGTCCTGCTCTGTCCCTCCAGGCCCTGGCTGCAGCCACCTGGGACTCTACTTGGGCTAGCTGTTCAAGGCGCACTGGGATGGAACGACCATGGACCACCATGCACTCCAGGACATCCAGGTAGGGGAAGTGTTCACCACTCTGTATTGGAATATAAGTATAATATGCATTAATCTATCAACTACAGATTAAGAATCAGACTAAATGTCTATCAAAGTACCCTCTTCAAACCTTGCTGTTTCACAAATAAGCTAAATTTCCTATTTTCGTTTTACATATTGATGTGACAACAGAAAAGATACGAAATCCTGAAATTACATGACTTAATGGAAGGAAAAGACACAGTGACGTTTCGATAGTTAGGAAACTAGTGATTCATAAATGTACATCAAGTTCATATTTCTATGCAAGAACCATAGTGCTTGGATCTCATTCAAACTACCTGAGGATAGTGTACCACCTACATCAGTGTGTTGGGCCACAATCAGAGACAATCTCTGAAGGCTTGACAATGGTTCGAGGTGACTGGGGTTAATCTAGCATGGCAATCTGGCCAAGTAAAGCTATATGGTAAGCCATACTGGAATCCTGCATCATCATGCCACCAATAACAATGACTTTTCAAAACTAAAATTCATATTCATTCACTTGGTCATGATCATTACAAAATTCATATCACATTCTATCAATTACGCCATACACAAACCTGTATTTCTTCAATCTGCTTGCTCCAGTCTTTAGCCTTCTTGAGTGCTTCCTTGAGAGATATTGTGTTGGGAAGGTGAACAGGGATGTTGCGTGCCTCGTTGATGATTGCCTCTAGAGTAGCGATGGCATGTCTCGGCCTATAACACAAGATCAAAATTTTCAGTGATAATAGCGAAAACATGCTATTAAAAGTTTTTCAGATAAAAGCTCTGCCTATGAAGTCAATTCATGGGAGGACACAACAGAAGGAAAGCTGTGTCCACTTAGATTGCAATTGTTCATCCTATGGCAGCTTAACATAGCCCACATATGTGGAGATAACCAAAGGGAATGAAAACAATTGAAGTAATCAGAACCACAAGTTTCAGGAAATACCATGACACCATTCATTTGTCCTAGATACAGCCTCATAAAGACTATAAGGACTCAGTGTACCACCTACATCAGTGTGTTGGGCCACAATCAGAGACAATCTCTGAAGGCTTGACAATGGTTCGAGGTGACTGGGGTTAATCTAGCATGGCAATCTGGCCGAGTAAAGCTATATGGTAAGCCATACTGGAATCCTGCATCACCACGCAATGTCTATCAAAACATGTCATAACGAGAGAATTCGTCACTGAAGATGAATGAGGTGGTCTGGACATATTTTTTAAAGCTCTCAGATGGAGAGATGAAGAGAGAGAGAGAGAGAGATGTATGGCAGTAAATAGATATTAAGGAAATATGGAGACGGGGTATAGTCATGTAAAAAAAATAGCTGGAAAGAGGGATTAAAGAGGTATCAGAATGCATGCACTTGGAAGGAGAGAAGATAGTATAAGGAAACATGGTAGGGGTGAAATAAGAATACAAAGGGCAAAGGAAAGGGCTAGAGAAAATTAAGGAACATCCTAAGACTTAAAAGAGGGAAAACAATGCCAGAGGCGGGAAAGCGAGAGGGTGACAAAAAAAAATGGTGCCTGGTTAACGTAATGAAGACCTAATGACCTTGAAAAGGTTGCTGTCACATCTTATGACAATTATCTATGACTGTGCCAAAATTGAAAGTAATTGGCTGAACCGATTTTGAGTAATTCCCGGCACAAAAAAGGGTGAGAAAGAAAAATAAAGACAGAAATAAGAAAGAAAGAAAATTCTGACAAAATTTATAGGTGCTCTGTCGATGACAGACCACCTAAAAAGTGATCTCCTAGCTTAAAAATACCCCCAAACTGGGTAGTCACGAATGCTGGTCCGATTAAGCCATTGTTTACTTGAACTGGGAAGTCCCTGTATTTAAGCATACAGCAATTACTTAGTTAGCAGGTTAAAAAAACACATTTTTTTTCAAAGTGTATTTTTTATTCAAAATATTATGTAACATCTGTCTGACACCTACAGCCATTCATTTTTTAGGCTGCTTTTAGTATAATGAAATAAGAACAGGCCTTTAAGCATGTTTGGACACACTTACTTTGCAACCAAACAGAGCTTAGCTTTCTCTTCCCATCTCTCACTGACAGTCAAGAGTTCTTGGAGCTCAGCCATTGCCTTCTCAATGGCTTGGTGTGGAGCTAGACTCACACCGGAGTCTATCAGCTTGCGTAGGGTCTCAAGGGTGACGCTGGTAGGTAGGGCAAGGGTAGCACGTACATCATCAAGCCATCTAGCTTGGTGAAGCTCCTACAAACACAGATACAAGCAAAGAAATACAATGAGTGATTTCAAGTTCGGTGTTGAAAGCTGGTGTTGGTGTTGTAAGAACACCAACACCAGCCACAACACCGAACTTGAAATCAGGCTGGTGTTGGAATTGACCTCGGGAAATATGACATATTTCCAGTAGTCTGTGTTGAGGGCTGGTGTTGAACTGACGGTCAGTGTTGGAGCTCAGTTCAGCAGCCTTTCCACACTCTCAACACCAACACCAACACCAAACACCGTACTTGAGCTCACTCATTGAGTATAAAAAATTAAAAATAATATTTTAAACATGTCACCTGAACAAAGTAATATTATCAATATATACAATGAGACATGTACCACCTACATCAGTGTGTTGGGCCACAATCAGAGACAATCTCTGAAGGCTTGACAATGGTTCGAGGTGACTGGGGTTAATCTAGCATGGCAATCTGGCCAAGTAAAGCTACATACACAGCTAGACTGGAATCCTGCATCATCATGCATACATGTCTTAGAATCTCATAAATGAACCTTAAAGATAAAGACCAGTTATGGTCATGCGATTGCATTGTGAAAGAAACGTTGTGGAATAGATCAGAAAAGATTGATCATCTAGCATATAAGTATTGGTGTGTACTGAAAGGTTCTGGAATCATCAAAATGATAAGAAATTTGGCCCAGTCTTGGTAAAGTACTGGTAAAGCACTGTACACAGAAAGATGTATATGGGACTATGTGACACATGCATTATATCAATCAGGTCCAAATATATATAATAATGTATCAAATATATCAATTAGTAGGCGTTTTTTTCGGCAAAATTTGTATGATCACGTATTAGTCAAAACATATTCTTTCACATGATTGGTAATAAGAGCTTCCATTTCATTTGTTGTGAGGGGGGGGGGGGCGTTTCCAAACCTGGTCTTTACCTTTAAAATAAAAAAAAGTATGATGTAAATTTGCAAAAAAAAGTGGGCAACAGATTTTGATAAAACAAAATCAACGCAAATCATCAAGCCAACGAGGTGAAGCTCCTCAAAACATGGATAGAAGCAAAGAAATACACTCAGAATAAAAAATGATGGGAGGGAAATAATAGAGGATTGAGCCTACATTAAAGATTCAAGCTCTATTACTGCTTCCATCTTGATAAAGTCATTACATATATATATATATATATATATATATATATAATGAAATCTATAGATGTGGTTGGTATTACATATGGGAGAAAATAGCAATTTGTTCTCATAACAACAAATTAATTCTCCTTGAACAAATTAGTAAATTTAAGATTTTCCTCAATATAACATATATTTGCTTTGCTGTGCAATTTAATCAGTTTAAACTTCTTCAATCCTTGAGCAAATACACAGCCCCACAATGTCAGTCCCTTTTTCCAAGTCAAATAACCTTAAAAAAACACCTGTACACAGACCCCAAATTTTAATACTCTTTATTCAGGTCACGTAACCTTTCCCAATACAATACAAACTTGAGACCCCTGCTAGGTTATCAATGGTTTAAACAGCAGCTGTTTCCTAATCCCCCATCTCCATTAACAATGCCTTTTGTGCTGTTAGATCTTTCGGTTTGATTGTTAACAAAAGGAGGTTATTACATTCTCCAACTTCTGTAGCAGGACTGAAAGGCCAGATTTTCTCCCCCAAAAAGAGATAAGTTTGAAGATAGAAATTTAAAAAAAATCATGCTGGTATGGAGTAACAACAAAGGCAAAATGTGTCAATTGGAACAAACAAAACAGCTACAGTAATGGTAACAACATTAAATGTATCATGCAGCCTACAGAGCTGACCCTTACTTCACAAGAAAGTTCTTGTACAGTATTGGTAAGCTTTAAAAAATAATTGATCACAGTCCTCTGATATTAGTAAAGCAATTCTAAATAGCTATAATCTTCTTGCAAATCATGGGCCCTGGGACAAAATAGCAATTCATTATTGAAACAACAATGAACATCTATTTCTTGTTCCTTTACATCACTTGTCCACCGCAACTCAGAATGGATTGGTGGGAAAAGAAGTCTTAGAAGTTGTGTATATCCAAAGGATAGGAAGCTCACACTGAATTCCTAGTGTTGGAAAACTAGCATGGCCTTTATATGTTAAAGACAGGCTTTACTACTTCAGCTAGAAGGGATTAGACCACCCAGCGAGCCAGCGAGGTCACTGTAACAGGTGGCTATCTCAGTAACTCAGCTCTCATTTAACATAAGAAAAAGAGGATCATGGGGGACCAACAGGCACCGATTTGGTAAGTTTTCTATATAGAGGGAGCAAGTAGCTACAAGTAGGACAGTGTGCCTTTAAGAATATCTTACCAGTTTTAGTTTAGGAATCTCTGGAAGCTCTATGTCCAGTGCAGCACCAGCTTCAAGAAGTCTCTTGAGTTTATCAGAGTTTGGGATGGCATCGGATAGAGCATCCTGGGCTTCAGAACGGAACTTCTCAACCTCATCTACAAGTTTCTGTTTAAACATTCAAAAAAAGAAATCATTTTCATTTAATTTCATTTCTTTATTGTGTCCATATAGGATAATTGTTTATATGCACATGAACAATCTTGCTTCAACATATGAACATAGGAACAACATATAATTGACATTCATAGGGCCCTGTTTTAGTATACATTTGATATAATATACATGATCATGATGAATATACATTTAAATACTCTTTTTTCTTCTTCTTCTCTCTTTCTTCTTACATACCCGCCATTTTTGTTAAATTCTTATATGCTCTAATCTGAAGTAGGTACTTTGTGTTAAAAATTATTTCTTGATATGGTATAACAGTAGGGGTACAACAGTAAAGTAAGTATACTAAAACAATATATATATTTGTGTAACATGCCAATGAGGGTATTTTGCATGCTTCATCATTTTACATATAAATGTTGCTTTCTTCATCTTTACCTATTTCTATGGTTTTTATTAAAGAAGACAGACAATACCTATCAATTTACATATAAATATTGTATTCTATAATTGTACATACTGATGATTAAGTGAGAAGGTTTCAGCACTATCCCCTTTCGATCATAAAGAGTTAATTCTCTTCTGGCTCTCAGCAGACAATATATTAAGATGTAATAAGAATAACATGAATTTAAATCCCATTTTTAAGTGCATTATGCGATTTTAGTATTAAAACTTTCAAAATAAGCGACAACTTATATATTCATCTCCTGACGACTGACAGTCAACCTGTTCGAAAAGTTGAGCCAATCCTACTACCCATCCTCTTCAACTGGCGCTATAGTTCTTCTTAGAACTATAAGCTCAAGAAAGATTACCAACCGTCTTTTTTTCTAGACTACCTACAGTCCTTTTCAGGACTACACACACACACTCAAGAAAGAAAGATTACTGACAGTCCTGTTCAGGACTCCCCAATCCTCTTCCCTCTCTCTCTCATGGTGCAACCATAAGCCTACTGTGTATAATTGATAAATTATTCCATTACTAGAAGAGTTTCTCCACATTTCCTGAATTGGTTTATAGCGGGCATGGGATTATTACCTGGACGAGTTCAGCCTCACGGATGTCACAAGGCAGACTCTGGACCTGTTCCATGAAGTCTGTGAGTTCCTCATAGTTCAGCTTGGTCACAAACTTAGAGTCCACATTGCTCTTGCTTCTATGAGAATAGAAATATCATGAACACATGTATAATGATGTGCTTTTACAAAGTCTACGAGAAACTTAATTTTAAAGAGATGTCAATTTTGCACATATATAAAAGAAGGCTACTACATATTTGTTTTCCGATAACTCATATTTGATAAAAATATCACTCAAACAAAGTGATATTATCAATGTATACAACTCTTTATGTACCACCTACATCAGTGTGTTGGGCCACAACCAGAGTAATTTCTGAAGGCTTGACAATGGTTCGAGGTGACTGGAGTTCATCTAGCATGGCAATCTGGCCAAGTAAAGCTATTTAAAAAGCTATCTTGGAATCCTGCATCACCATGCACTGCACTAAACCATCTGCCATTCCAACAATCATTAGTGTAAAGTTATAAACACGGTTAGACTGGAATCTTGCATTACAATGCATACATGTCTAACAATCTTCATGAATAAATCTTAATGTAGAGTATGATGTGACTTTGGCAAAAAATGGACAAAAGATTTTAATTGAAAATATATAATTATAAAATAAATTTAGTTTCAGTTAGAGGGACAGTGAGTGCAGGTTGTGACAGAGATGGAATTAAAATAAGTTATCTAGATTATTGTTCCAAACAGGACTATTACTTACATTAAGCTAACTGAACACTGAAGCTTTTATACCCTATCATGGGTATACTGATATAACTAGATATTGCTAAATGGTCACACATAAGCAACTGAAGATCACTGACGCAAACAACACAATGAGGGATTAACTGACATCATTTTAAACATAAAACAAATATTCAGCTCTGCATCATGATAAGAAACACATTTCCTACCTTGTCCTGTGTTTCTTGTTGACGAGCTGTAGGGCAACACTGGCACATCTCTCGGCCTCTGCCACAGCATTCATCAACTGCTGGAGCAGCTCATTGTCAGGGAAATGCTTCTCATCAGCCTCCTCAATCATCTCCTTCAACTGGGGCATGTCTGTTTGCAAGAGAAAGGTAGCAGGATTATCACTGTAATTTAATATGTTTTTGACATTCACTTTATACAGCAAAGCTATCAATTCTGAAGAAGAAAAAAAAAAATTACTGGTAGGCATACCTATGTGAATTAGAATAAAGGGAAAATCCTACATCCCTGTATATCTATGTTATCATTCAAAACATCCATCTAGAGATAGTCAGGTTAGTCAATGCAACATTTCATTGTATCTAACAATCACTGATGTTATGATTTCTATGTATTTCCCTGTAAGGTAATCATGTACATTAAAAAGCTGCAAGTGACCTATAACAATTATCAAATTATTCTTTAAAACAGGTATAAAAAAAAAGGACACAAAAGCTCGCAAGATCGTTGAATCATAAGACATTGACAAATTTATAAAAGCATATTCTTTCACTATCTGTCAAAGGGTAACAAATTCTGTATCACCTACATCAGTGTGTTGGGCCACAACCAGAGTAATCTCTGAAGGCTTGACAATGGTTCGAGATGACTGGAGTTAATCTAGCATGGGAATCTGGCCAAGTAAAGCTATTTAGAAAGCTATCTTGGAATCCTGCATTACCATGCACTGCACTAAACCATCTGCCATTCCAACAATCATTATTAGTGGAAAATATAGTTTGATTGTAATTCTGGCAATTCAAACTTTGTAGACTGTTTTCATATTTTCATAACCTCTGTATCTCCTTTGAAGGTGATCATGTACATTTAAAACTAGATGGATCTTTGACTGTGTGCAGTTGAAAATGATGCCTCCGCCATAGAGCGATTTAACATGCCAAAACAGAAGCAATTGTTGAAATTCAAGTTTGATTGTAATCCATTAACAGGTTCTCAGAATATTGTGATTACAAGCTATTTGTCATATACATGTATGACCCTTTGATCTTTGACCTCATGACCCTAAAATCTTATCAAATCATTGGATCTGCAAGATACGTACATGTCCTGAGTTTGATAGTAATCCATCCATTGGTTCTATTGATAATGCGTTCACAAACTATTTTTGCATACATGATGAGCCCTGTGACCTTTGACCTTGTGACCCCCAAAATCTACTCAGTTCATTGGCTCTGTAAGATAAATAAATGACCCTAGGTTGGCGGGAATCCATCAATCGGTTCTTGAGATAACGAGATCACGAGAACAGGACGTACAGACGGACGGACAACCCGAAAACATTGCAAGTGACCCATAAAACACAAACAAAGGTGAAGGATGTTCAACATTATTTTGATTTCTTTCCAACTCTGAAATTAAAACTTTGACTTACCTAGTTTGGAATCCTGGGACGCTTCAAGGGCATTCTTGACCTTGTTCGCCCAGTTGTCAAAGGATTCTGCTCGGATTTTCAGGTTATGCAACATTGCTGGCAGTTCATCCAGGGTGTATCGATATCTGGGTAAAAAAGTACACAAGATATTTATTTTTTTTACAATCAAAGACTTACACAATTTTTTAATCCATTCCTTATTTTATAATTGTGTAAATCATAACATGTAATACAGTCAATCTAACAGGTTGCACAACATCACAAAACTAATTTAATATATAGCATCAATCCAAGATCAACATTATACCTAACCTAAATCCTAATCGCAATCCTAACCCTATATCAATGACAGAGTGAATCCTGGATCAAATGTCGGATGACTATCCAACAATGTCAGAGCTGTCATGCTCTTGTTATCATCACACTGAAACCAACCACTAAGAAAGTCTTTTTTGTCTTCATGTATCAAAGCACATGTAATGTTATTCATACATAAGGGTTTGCAAGATGATGGCACTTCATGAAAATATCTTATGAGCTTCTATTACAGACAAGAGGTTTTAACAAGGATCATATGACATGACCAGCTGTCAACAATGACATGTTGATACATGGCATGGCTAGTGGTCACAAATGCACAATAAACACAACAACAAGACCATCACCATCAACAACAAATACACCACCTCACCACCACCATATCATCACCATGACCATCACCTTACCTGAGACAGTGCCTGGAAGATAGGCAGTCACACAGTTTGTCCACATGGTGTATGCAGACCAGCTTGTTAGGAGTGCACGGGCATGTGATGGCTGAGAGGAAGCATGTAGTCTTACAGCTCTCGCACTGTCTCTCATCGTCAGGCAGCAGCTCAAAGGCCTCACGCTCTGCCTCAGTGATACCCTGTAATACATCAAACACAGAGTTCAAAATAAATGACTTTCTGCTACACCAAACAAAAAACGTTGAATATTTCATCCTTCTCTGTATTTATTAGAGAGACATATATAATCATTCATAAAAATGTGGTATAAATGCCATACAATTTAATTTTGTTCCACTTTCTCTATAATTCATATTTGTAAGTATCTCATTCTTTCTTTCTCCCTCCCCCCCCCCTCTCTCTCCCTCTTTCTCTCTCTCTCTCTCTCTCTCTTTATTCGTAACGACTTTTCAGAATTCATCCATCACAGTCAATCTCTTTCTTTATCTCTACTTTTTTTAATGTACCCTCTTCTCCTGTCCTAGTTTTGGTTGCTATAATAGTTATTTCTAAGACATCTACACAAAAACCAAACATATTCAGAATAGATATTGAGTGTGCATATCATCTCCTTACTCTTTCCAACAGCGCCTTCCTGCATCTCTTCTCCTCATTGACGATGTGGAGCATCTCCTTGTACACTGCCGCAGCCATGCTCAGGTCCAGGCTCTCTGGGTCTGCTGCCATCTTACACACCAGCTCCTCGTGTGAGAACACACACACGCGCTGCAAGGAGCGGTAGTAGTCGATGCACGCCCTGCCCATTGGAAGCTGTATACAATGTAGTAGTAGAATGGTTTTATTAGAACAACTGCAAAATGGTAGCCCGAAAGCCAAGTTACATTGCATGTTTTACAAGCTCAATAGAAAACAATTCATCATCATGAGACACTTTCAAGTTTCATGCATTTGTATGGTTTGCCTTAGTGAAATACCCACCATTGTGTCCCACATCTAAGTGTTCTACTTCAGCCACTTGAATACATTAGTAAAATAGGCTCAACCCATACATTGCATATATATATATATATATATATATATATATATATATATATATATATATATATATAAAGGTAACTTTGGAGTAAAGTAATGAAAAAGAATTGAGCTATTAAAAACATAAGCGCCAACAAATCTTGTCATTATTTTGAGCTTATAATATGTATATAAAGATCCCTTGCTTGTTCTATAAGACCTCTGTAACATGATACATAGCTGTCATATAATCTTTTTATTGCGTAAAAGGGATGAATGTGAATGTATGGTATTATACAAGTAGAACTACACGCATCTCTTGAGCTCACCCAATCTGCAGGGCAGAAGTTGACAGCTTCAGCAAAGTTGTATCCTTGGTTGAAGCCTGCATGATAGGCTCTAGGGAACGTCACCACAAACTCTCCAGCACACTGGTTGGTCCTCACAATCTACAATTACATGAACAAATAAGAATTAAAAGTTACGCAGCTGAAAAACTGAGAATACCTCATGATCATAGGGATATACATAACTTACTCTTACAGCGGCCCCTACAAAGCATTTGACTATGGTTCCAGAGGACGTATTGTTTAATGGGGTACTTGACTATGGTTTCATAGTTACATATATCAGTTTGATATCAGTTAGTAGAAAAAATAGTTTTCTATGAGAAAATAACAATGTTCTGTTTAGTCTTACAGTGTTGCACCTTTTTTCACTTTTCTTAATTTTTTTTTTTTTGTGCCCGAAATGTTAAAATTGGGGTAGCGGCCTTAACACCGGCAAATACGGTAGTGGTTTGTGGTTTAACAAGGTTGCAAACACATGTGCACAATGAAGGCAATCCAATGGTACACAGGTTATATATGGCCTTCACAACAAATTGAAGCGATGCTAAGCATATCAGATATTGTATGTACCACCTACATCAGTGTGTTGGGCCACAATCAGAGACAATCTCTGAAGGCTTGACAATGGTTCGAGGTGACTGGAGTTCATCTAGCATGGGAATCTGGCTAAGTAAAGCTATATACACAGCTAGACTGGAATCCTGCATTACCATGCATACAAGTCATCAAATCTAATACGTGGATCTTTATCTTGTATCTCCAACAATCCTTAGGGAATATAGAATTGTGCATGATCTTTGTCTAGGTAATACATAACACCTGATCATACATTGGAGGCATATCATGTCCCAAAGAAAAATCGAACACTAAGTTCCTATAATTTAAATAACCCTTTCATATCAGTAACACAATTTTAAGAAATGTATGTTGGGTCCACTCGGTCAATAGAAACATGTCTTTGGGTGTATCACTGCATTGCCATGTATTACCGATTACCGTACAAAGCAGTTGTTACCATCAGCAACAGAGTGGCCAACAGGCTCAGCAAGGCACTTCTGTTTTCAGAATAGTACAGGGAAAAAATACACAGGGGCTCGGGGCAAATTAGCTCCCGAAATGCCCAAAAGAGCCCTCAAATTTTGCATAGAGGTCAATGCAAAACAAATTAAAGAGTGTTATTTTCATGCAAGCAAGCTTGAAAAGTAGCCCCTGACATTTTTAAAGTATTTTTTTCCCTGGAATAGTAACAACACCCTACTTGGTGATCATCTGTAAAGAGGGCAAGTCCAAGGTGTTTGGTCATTCTGTGTCCCATACATTATCAAGTATCAAGGAATCAAGATCACAATATAAATTGATGCTCTCACTTTCATTGATATTCAGTTTGATTCCATTTATAGTACAGCTATCAACATAATGACAATCATCAGGTGTACACAATTCTATCTTGTGGTCGGTAGCATATGGGACAACGTATCTTGGACTTGCCTTGCCCTACCAAGGGTGAGGATTCTACTTACAGGGACTCCGTGATTCATGAGTACGGTAGGCGACATGATAGTGACCAGCTGATGGAGTAGATCAGGCTGAGCATCAAACAACTCAGGGGCTTGGCGTTTCATTGCACTCTCAAATAGCTCCGCTGCACTCCCGGGTACTCCGTACCATGTCTTTGGCTCACCCCTAGAACAAATAATAATAATAATTATAATAATTTTTCATTTTTATATAGCGTTTAATAAAAATGTCTCTAAGCGCTTTACAAATATACCATTGGATTCAGTGCTTGCCCGCACATACTGTGTGCACAATCTCCACTCCATGGGGAGCATACAGCCAGGCGTTACATGACGCTCAGAAACTATTTGAACAACAATGATGGTCGCATCCTACCGGGTACCCATCTAACACATGGGTGGAGAGTAGCAAGTGACGGTTAATATCTTGCCAAAGGATATTAGTGCCGTTTCGGGATTCGAACCCTCGACCTTCGCATCTCCAGTCAAGCGCCTTAAACCACTCGACCACGACACTCCTTACAAAGCGTGCCTGAGCAACAAATTGAAGCAATGCTAAGCATATCAGATATTGTATGTACCACCTACATCAGTGCGTTGGGCCACGATCAGAGACAATCTCTGAAGGCTTGACAATGGTTCGAGGTGACTGGAGTTCATCTAGCATGGCAATCTGGCCAAGTAAAGCTATTTAAAAAGCTAGACTGGAATCCTGCATTACCATGCATACAAGTCACAAAATCTAATACGTGGATCTTTATCTTGTACATGTGTATCTCCAACAATTTTGAGGGAACATAGGACTGTGCAAATACAGTTTTAATGTTAACCCATCGATTACTGCATTCTCTCATTCTCACAGGCTTGTTTTCATTCGTGCATGCCTCTCACTCTTTAATCAGATAACACTTTCTGTACGTGATGGTCTAGTCTGATGACAAGGTTGCGATCTTTATTAGACATAGAAAGTCACAAACACTTGGTTGGACTATCAAGATACACTGTATGTTCAATGTTAATGAATTAAATTACAGACACGAATGGGTTAATTATAAGTGAACTTCACTAGAGACACTATCAGAGCCATGGAATATGAAAATGAAAGTACTCTCATAAATCTGCAATTACGGCCCATTATCTAATGAGAAGTTTACCACAGGAGATACAATCGGGAATCTAGACTGACCATGAGTAGAATATGGATAATAATAATATTTAGTTTTTATATAGCGCTTAATACAAACTAGGAGGACCCGTGGAAAATCCACGGGATTCTAGGGGGTGGGTGGTTGTATGCTATCGATTTTTTTAATTTTCATGTTTGTTTTTCTGTTTTTTTTCCCTTTTATTTTCAATTTCATTTTCCCTCTTGGTATAGGCCTACTTTTTATCCTTTTATTCTTTTTCTACTCTTGTTATTAATATTTAATTCGATAGAATATTAACCTTTTGTTTGCTGTTTCATATATCATTTTGAAATGTTTTTTTTTTATTTGTAACATATAATAAAACTTGAAGATTAAAAGAAAAATGAAATTAGTTATTTGTAAACAAACTGATGCAAACTATTTTACGATTTATCTTTCGTTTTCACTTTCATTATTTATGATTATTGTTTTTCATTCATTCCCATCCTTATTCTCATTATCCATTTCCCGTCCAGTTTCTTATGAATACTGTTCTCAATCCTCCCATTCTCATTTTTCATATTTTCACTCATCTCTAATTAGAACTTGTTCCAAATCAAAACATGAGTAACAATAATTGTTTAATTTGGCTTAACATACATTATTAAAACTACATGTTCTATTAAACAAAATTATCAACAAAATGATATTTTGCATGGATGATACAAAGAACTTCAGAGAGGTCCCGGAGGTCTCAGTGAAAATATACAAATATTGACTGCTCATGAGGATGAAATTATCATTCCCAAGGTGGTGTTCATACCGGTCCTTCTATCACCCGAGGTAAAGCCGAGGGGGTAATAGAAGGGCCAGTATTTGAACGAAATCGAGGGAGTGATAATTTCCACCACCATCCAATTACAGAGCAGTCCTTATTTTTTTTTTTTATCCCTCATGATTTCATGAACAGGTCTAGAAAGGAAATCCAACATCAAGAGTCTATTTAACATATTTACAGTCTTTCGGAGTTCAAAAGTTTCAATTAACCAACGCTAAACGAAATCAAACATACGGAAATCAAATCTATACATGTACTTAAGTAGTGTAGTGCAGTAACTGCGGCGCAGCGTAAAACGATGGCTTGAGCGCCGTGATGACCTGCCTGAGTTGGGCGCTGGAAGGCATTTGAAATCCTGTATGCTCTGTGTGTGTGCAAAAATCGCAGATTGGTTAGGCGTACTATCACAGATCTATTTGCGTTATTATTGTTGTTATTTCGAGGTAGTTTTCATGAAAAGACCAATAAAACAGAAGCTTGGACTATGAATATGTTGGCATAGATCACAGAATTTGTATAATTATTTTCAGAGTAAAGATTTTACGCGAAAATCGGTCCATGGTTTGCGCCAATTGTCGCAATCGCCACGACTCGAATCGAGTGTGTGTATGTGTGTGACGGTGAGCGTGAAATACACGTACACTATGGGCGCCTGGCCTACAAAGCATATCCTATAGAAAGACGCATAACATGGGTAAGCCCAACCCGTGAGAGCGTGCATTTCTTACATCCCATCACCGGGTGAGTCATCTGTTAATGTGTATTTCTCTTACATGCTACAAAGCATATCCTATAGCAAGAGGCCTAACTATGAGTATTTTGCGATTTTGCGTATTAATAATATAGATGTCTCTAAGGGCTTTACAAATATACTATTACCCCGGTCATTGGATTCAGTGCTCCCTGGGGAGCATTCCAGCCAGGCATTACTTGACGCTCAAAAAATGTTTGGCCAACAATGACGGTCGCATCCTATCAGGTACCCATTTAACACCTGGATGTCAAGAATGAGAAGCTTACCAGTGGAGATAGTTGATAGAATAACTCCAGTGATCTTCATTATGCCAGCAGAAGGATGAGAAGCACATACCCACATAGATCCAGGGTACCTTCATGCCAGAGATGTCAGCATTGATGTGGCATAAGACCGATTCATCTTGGACGGGCAGGTTGTTCAGATTCCACGGGGAAGTGATGTACTCCTGGTTATATGAAAGAGCAAAGAGGTTTGAACAATAAAAAATATTACATTTTTTTCAGGGGCTACTTTTCAAGCTTGCTAGCATGAAAATGTCACTCTTTATTTTGTATTACATTGAACTCTATGCAAATTTTTTTGGGTTCTTTTATGACTTTCGGGGGCTCTTTTGGGCATTTCGGGGGCTAGTTCGCCCCGAGCCCCCGTGTATTTTTTTCATAAACACTTCATTGTGTTGCTGATCATAAAACATGTAGATTTTTCTACATTCTCCTACTCCTTTTTCGCTGCTTCGGTGAGGCTCTATTTACAAATATATACACAGATTAAAATAGAACTAGATGATAGGTTTGCTTTATGAACGACCGTGTTACGCAGGAAAGGGAAACATGCAGCTTACAAGTATTCTAGTAAGTATGACCCATTTAGCCTGAGAAGGGTCTCAAACAACTTGTATCCCCATACATTCCACAAACTGTGAAGCCCGGAAAGACCTGAAAGAGAGACGTGACATGGTCTGAAATCAGACAAAAGCCTGAATACTGGTATCCTTCAGAATTGTGAACAAAGAACACACTGAAAGTGGAATTTTAAAAGCATGAAATTTGATTTAAAGGTAATCAGAGATGTAAAACGATGTTAAGAAATAAAATATTTACAAAATATGAAATGAAAGATGGTATATTCCTGACCATGCAAAGTTCAGAATTTATATACATGTATGTACAGTCAAACCTGTCTATAGCGACCACCCAAGGGAAACACAAAAAGTGGCCTTTGTAGACAGGTTCCTTTAGTACATGATTCAATGAGAAACCATTTTCAAGGGAAACAACAAATGTGCCTTTGTAGACAGGTGGTCTTTGTAGACAGGTGGTCACTAAAGCAGGTTTGACTGTATTAATCAATTCATGTTCAACCGGTATGATGCCATAGATCTTACCTGGTCTTCAGGAGCAACCACCTTGCTCTTCTTGGTAGGGAAACCGCTGCCTTGGGTAAGGGTATGGATATCAGCCCCATACTCTACCAACACATCATCCTCTACAGACTGCACCAATCTCCAGAATTCCTTCTCAATCTGCTCAGGTGGAACCATCTGCAAAGAAGAAAAGTTTCAATAGAGGCAAGTGTGAAATGAAAGTTTTTTTTAAAAGTATTCCTTCTATAATAATACAACATACACAGCATCCTAATGCGTCGATCACAAAGGTTCGTACAAACAATAATTTCGTACGAATCTTCCTGTTTTTCCATTGTCTTCCTGAATTTCCATTGTCTGAAAATCGTTCGTACAGCGTTCGTAGCAGTTTGTAATGGCATTTGTGACAGAGGTTTTAGTAATTTTCACTTTAGTATATAGTCAATGAGTTTTTATTGGTAACATCTCACTCTGGCATACATTAGTAAAGCGTTATTAAAAGTCTTCCCTTTCTGTATGCAGGCAGTCAAACCTAATTCAGTGTCAATCTGTACAGAGAGGCCACCTGCCTATAAAGCCTGCTCATTACCTTTTGCTTGAATGGTATTAATACCGGTATACAGGTTTGAATGTGTATGAAACAATAATATGACTGACTAATCTCACGTTATAACACAGTAGTGAAGATTTGTAATTACTTCATTCAATCGTGAAGGCAATGTTTCATCAATTTTCTTCTCAGAAGTCATCCTTCCATATAATCTAAATGAAAAAGTAACATATCATATGACTATTTTTCAACTTCTGGAGTCTTCTCGAGAACAGTTACTCCATTTCGCAGTCCACAAGATGCAATGTGCTAAACAACAGAAACAGATGGAGAAGAATGTTGAAGGAATATAACTTACATGGACTGGCATGGAGAAGAAATCTTTCTTGAACTGGTCAGCCTTCTCTCCAAATGTCTGCAGAGAGTATTCTTTGCGAGCTGTCTCAAAACCGAAGGGATCCTGGGGTTTACTCAGACCCTGTTGTCAAAAAAAAGCAAAGTCTTCATTGGTGAAAACTAGCATCGTTAACTGTCTGTAGCACCTGGTGAAACCATATAGGCCAACCTACATGGCTTACCTAAATTACCCAATGAAGTGAGTTCTCTTTTTAAAAAAAATAAAGAGGGGAGGCTAAATACTCTTCCTAGGCTCTAACAGTTTGGATATTCTTATTATTCTTACACAGTGCATCATGGAATATATCGTCCCTATTTTCACGAAGTGACGGTAGTGAATGAGAATCGCATACAATTTGCGTGCGGATTTTCCTCACTACCGTCACTTTGTGAAAACAGGAACGATATGTATGATATGAAGCTTTTATGCTTTATCAAAAAACAAATCTTCTTCTCTTTTTCCCCCAATGTGATAATTATCAACCTAGTTTCAGATTCCATATTTTCATTACAATAATTATAAATGATGATTATTTTTTTCTTCTTTTGAATAAATTATCATGACATTGATTAAATTTCATATTTTCATAATCAATAACTCTTTTTTTTTCATGAAAACTGAACATGACTTAAACTGCACATCAAGAACATTCTCACATAATTTCAAAAAATCCTCCACAATTGGATATCCATCTTCATTTACCTTGGCAACACAGGAAGGGCATCTCCAGTCTCCTTTAGGGACCTCTGGTAGAGGAGGGATAAGACAGAATGTGTGGAAGCTATCATCACACCCATCACAGAGAAGGAGACAGTCCTCGACATCGCCACGCCCACATGTGTGACACATGTACATCTCAATCTATCAGGAAAGACAGAAAGATATATTTACTGTCACAGGATAACTGGGAGAGAGGAAAATCAATCCAGTATGCTAAAGATCTACCATGAAACACTCACTGTATTTCCATGCATATTACATTACAAAATGATCTGAGGATTATTAAAGAGAAGGTTGAGTTCTGGGAAGAAGTGAAAAATAATTTTTGAGCGTTATCATTGTTATTATGCAACTGTGGAAGAGCATCAGATAAAAAATGTTCCCTGAAAAGCATGGCTCTTCAAATGCCTTAATATTCTAAATATGGCATGTAACATCATAAAAATCGGGACAGATTTTTACGCCACATGTTCGTGTAGTCCCATATACATCTTTCTGTGTACAGTGCTTGTAAATTTACCAAGACTAGGCCAAATTTCTTATAATTTTGATGATTCCAGAACCGTGCAGTACACACCAATACTTATATGCTAGAGGATCAACCTTTTCTGATCGTTTCCACAACGTTTGTTTCACTATGCAATCGCATGACCAGAACTCGACTTTATCTCGAAACTTAGGCTGTAAGCATTTACATGTGTATGTTAGTATTAAGTAATCCAAAACACTTTCCTACATTTTTAAGGCAGGTCTCACAAAGAATGGCTTGACACGGTTTTAATTATCCATGTACAATTCATAGGCAGATCATGCTGGCACTTTCTTTCAATCAGCACTGTATACTATTGTTCTATTTGGATTAGGCTCTCTTTCTTGCTCTTTAGTTTCAAAATGGGGGGAAAAGGCATCTCCAGACAACTTAGAATAACATGAACACTCGACTAGAGCACAGGTATAAGTACTTACCAGACTGACGCCTGTCCTAGCCCTCATCTGCATATTGGAGCTAGCAGCAGCCAGATCGTGCGCGGTCTTTCTTGGAGAGGACTTGGGAGTCTTCTTGGGGGTTCCCTTGGATTCTTTAGTGTCTTGCTCAGATGTGCTAGACTGACGATCTAGCTTGGCCCAGGATCCATCTAAACCATCTGATAATAAACACCAAGACAGTGGGATTGAGTTGGGTATCTCATGATCATTCATTTGGGACAGGAATGCCAAGGGGACACGATCTGTATGATCTTAAGAATTCGTTTCTAGAGTCTATGTTGACTCTATTAGTAGACAAACCCCATTTTCCTCTTTTATATATTACAGCTTAGTTCTAACCTTTTGAGATGTGCTCTTGCAAACTTTAAAACAACTGTCAAAAAATATTTGCCGCCTACAAGAGCTATTATTAATGTTTTTTTAATATTATTAACATTTTTATTGTTGTTGTAATTTATCAATATTACTATTATCGTCATCATTATCATCATTATCATTATTACTATTATTATCGTTATTATTATAATCATTATAATTATTAAGTTCATGTCTAAAATAGTTCATTCAGAATCCAGATGAGACAGTAGGACAGGAAAGTGGATGAACTTACAACAGAATGTCTCCTGCATCAAAGGCAGTCTACTACTATGTAAAAACAAATGTTAATTTCATCAACAAATTGAAGAAATATTGAAAGATTTAAGAATCAAAATGAAAACACAAACCCTGATGTGTATTTGGAACTGTGAGTAAAGTTAATCAATGAACCACCAAGTGTACCATCTCCACCATGTGAAAATTAACACCTAGGGCCACAACAACCATTACCACCACCTCCATGGCAGCCACCACTATCACCACAACCACAATCACCACAACCACCAAAATGATTAGAATGTGTATACCAGTATTGATTAATGGCTGATTTCTCATTCTTGCAGTTTAAAAATAAAATATAAATAGTGCAATGTAAAACAGCATCTACTACTACTATTCTACAGCTACTATAACTTCTATTACTACTTGAAGAAGAAGCATTGATGATTACTATACAATGGTATACCCCACACAAACACAACCATCCACACTGAGTTATCTGAGCTCAAGCTCTCTTTTCAGCCATTTGACTGCAAATCCTGTAACCTTTGCAACATGAATGGATTAGGTAATAATCAAAAATATTAGTCAAAACCACAACCAGGTGTGAGTAAAGGGGTGTAAAATAGAATAAATAAAATGGAAAACACTTTGAAAATAACTGGATAAACTAACTTCTTTCGGGGCTCATCATCATGGGGATTTCGTCAAAACTACCTTTCTTCTCTCCTGGCTGGGCCACAAGGCCCAGTCCAGCAAACTTTGGTCCAGGACCGAAGAGCTGGAGCTTCTTCAGCTCCGGGTTGTTACTGATGTCCACTGTCAGGGGTTCCTGTGGGGTACGAGACAGTAGGGAACACTACAGTGTTCACAGATAATTTTATTTTGTATATGTTCGAGGAACTGCTCAATGAATCTGTTATCAAATGCTTTTGATGAAGCCATGGATGACAGAAATGTAAATGCGGTGTCAATGAACAGATATCATGTTCCTATTTATGATTTTAAAAAAGCTACTTGCATGAAGCAGAATATTATTTGAAATATACATGTCAAGTCATGTATGATTTGATATATCTATACAATTCCTATCTATTTAAAATAACATTGGCTAAATTTAATAGGAAATACTTTGATCACCAGTATTGATAAAAAATATATAATTATTTTTCACTCTTCATTCTAAAGTACCCCCCCCCCCCCTCCCGCCCCCCCCCCCCTTTCAGTAAATTTAGTCATACGCTGTACCCCAAAAAAAGGAAATGTTATAAGCCCATTTTGAGAATGTTCATCAAAAGAGAACAGAAAATGTTGACAGGATGTACCTCGGGTGCTTGTCTCTTGACCCTGCGACTGTATCCCCCTGTAGAAGGTGGTTTGATGGCCTGTCTGGAAGGAATCCCGTGAGGTACATAGTCCTTGTCCTTTGCATCACCTTCTGGTAGTGGTTGCTGATGGAAAATACAATCAAGAAAAAATATGAAGGACATACAAGTACATGAATGCAAAATTTGGGAATTTTTAAAGATCCTCTCTATTTCCACTAATTTATGTGATTCATTCATCTATACAAGGGTGTTTTTATTAAGAACGTACATGTAGTTCCACACGTACAAGGTATTATAAAATCAAACATTCAAAATGGTTTCAGTTTGTATTGATTTCTCTAAACTTGTTTTAAAGTAGCCTATTCAAAGCTTCAATGTACATTTATTTTCCATCTTTATATATCTTGTTGAAGAAAAATAAATAGGCTGCAAGATGTACATTAATTTTCCCACAGGGGTCCATCTTAAAATTTAGAGTCTGTATGTACATGTATGCTTGGGACTCTTGCTTAAATTTCCAAACTTGGTGGGGCTGGAGTTTGAATACTGGAGCCCATGTACATCTGTGGCTCATTTCACGAAGCCTTTTTCCAATGACAAATAACAAAAATCAGTGACAAATCTGCTGATAACAAATCAGAAGCAAGGATTTCAGTAGCTTATAACAAAAATTGTCATTTGTCACTGATGACAAGTTTTGTGTACCCTATAGTGTTGAGCCCTTATAAAGGATACACGTACACGTACATGTAATGTCCCCATACAAAACACTGTACTGTAACACATCAACCCCTGTGACAACTTACCACTGGTTGGTCAAAGGACGCTCCAGAATGGAAGACATCGTAAGGCCAGAGTATCCTCTCGTAATGCTTCAGGAGTTGACTTCCAACACCTTTACCCGGAGGGTAGTGAAGCTAAAAAAACAAGACATTGAAAATAAGACACAATGAATGGTTTAAAAAAAAAATCAGGAGTTGAATTCCAAGACCTTTACCTGGAGGGTAGTGAAGCTACAAAAACAAGACATTGAAAGTAGTGCACAACAAATGGTTAAAAAGAATCTTTGTGTTACAATAGATATTAATGAAAAAATCATCATGTACAAAAATGTACTGATATTTTGAATGAGATTATTTAAAAAAGGAAAACAACATTTCTTCCAGTTACTACACTGTAGCTTATACAGACAATTTGTATCCATATTTCATGCAATTGTGGTTGCAAACTGCGTAATTACATGACACTTTATATACACACATACATATACACACATACATGACACAGTGTGAGAGTGTCTACTTTATTCCAAGCAATACTGTAAGGTAGGATAAGATTATCTTGCATATTGTATATTCTACAATTGTATTTATGGTTTACTGTATTCAACTTACCCTATTTGCAACCCTGCTCCACTTTCTTTCTCTGCACACTATCTCGAATCCACATTCATCTTGAACAATCTGTCAAGAGCAAATCAGCAGGATGGAAAAAAGAATCATTTAATGCAGTACCAGGTGTACAGTACATGAGCCATGTATGATAGAGGGGGGGGGGGGGGAGGAGGGGGTCGCACTCTGTTTTCTTTTCGTTAAGGAGATTAATACGTTACACATGCACATTGACACTGATGCATAATTGCAGCTCCATAAAATGTTGCATTAATTTGGAAATTTGAGGTACAGTGTGCATGTATTATTGCTCGGGTCACTTAAATAATTTGTTAAATACCGGTAGTACTGTATGTACATGTACCTTGAAATGAAGTCACAGATTCTTGACAGTGACTTGATATAAATTAATGACTTTCATTTTTCTTTTCTTAGAAGAAATAATTGACCGTGTAAAAAGAATTCATTTGTTCTTTCATACACGTGTTTACAAGGGCGGCAACCATACAATGTAGTTCATGGATTATACCACTTTAATATTGATCTTCCAACAACTACAATTTACATGTACGTAATGTAAGCTTGATGACGATGCCTACATATTCACGTTTGTCATTTGATGTCTACTGCAGTATACAAAGTTATTGAAAGAACAATAGTGAGTTTTACATGTACACCTGGAGTCAATAACTACATTTTTGTGAGCAACAAAATAATTACATAAGCTAAATTACATTTACTTGTTATCTTCCAATATTACTGCAGACTTAACATGGATCCATTTTAAAAGGTGATGGACATGTCAGAGTGACCAATTATTGCCTCATGAATGCAATACATATGGGCAATTCCATGATTAGGTGGACATGAGTAAAAAATTTAGAATTCAAATTTTCTTTTTTTTTTTTTTTGTATTTGACTAAAGACACCACAAAGTATCTGAAAAAAATATTTTCCACACCATACATTTGGTATAAGTGAGTGAAAATTGCAAATGAACATTGTTCATGTTTTCCTGTGAAATTTGTAATATAAGAGGAAAAAAAGTTATTTAAGTCATTATCAACATAAAAGTAACTATATCCTCACAAACCTATTGAATTTATTGAGGGAGTACAATGCCCTCATGGTTTCATTAAGCAAAATTCAAGTTAAAAAGTGATTTAGTCTACAGTTCACGAAATTCTAAACCCTTGATACGCCATGTAACGTTACCAACCAAAACATGAATTTATTTTTCTGGAGAGAAAATCTGGGGGCTATTAATTGTCATATTTCAAATTTTCCTTTCCTATACAATGCTCTATTGAAGTAAAGGAACCAGAATTACAAATATTCTATGATGTAGAAAATATTAGCAGTCAAAATCTGTAACGTTACCAACCATGTAACGTTACCAACCAGGCTTAAGGATTGTAACGTTACCAACCATGATATTAGTGCCAGGAGATACTTATTTGTAAGCCTTAATCAGAAGAAAGTGAAGTGATTCTTTAACTAAGACAAGAGATGGCAGTATAGAACATTTATTAAAGGCATGTGACAGCCATGTGACAACCATTTAAGCAGCATCATATCTGTGTAGAATCCATGCAGCATCACATTTGGGAAGAGTCAAATCATCTTTACTGTATTAAAACTCTTCTTGAATCTTTCTCCATGAAAGCAGTTCTAATTAGCAAAACTTGTTGAATCTCAATCTACTGTCACCCAGTGTCAGCATCTGGTAAGTTTATTTATTTTCAATTGTAGTAACTGTAATCTTTATTTATGTTTCTTGAAATACTTTAAGATCAGGCTAGGCTACTTTCTACAGTCTTCATTGTATGTACAGTTCACACTACACTTTTTAAAGTCAACATTGGCAATTGATAGTACATAAAATATTTAGTATCAACTACATGTACATGCAAATGTACATGTACATCAACTAGATGGAATAGATGCAAATGAAAAAGTGAAGGTTAATGAACTTTTTTGTATTTGTTTTTATGTGCATTGGCTAATTTGTTGCCGTGGAAACTTTCATCTTAATCCGAATGCAGTTGTTTAACACTTTGAGAAAACATGGCAATTGACCTTTACTCAAATTTCCAAAGGATACATTAAATATTATGGGAAATCATGAATTTTAAGTTATATGATTTCTTGTAAATTAGAAAAAAAAAGTGATTTTATTCATAATTGTTATATTGTATCAATTTTTCTGTATGGTGACTTTCCAACACTTATCCAGATTCGCACTAATAGAAGGATTCTAATACCAATTACGAATCTGGAAATCTTTGTTCATCCTGATTATTTTTTTTTTTAAAGATTTGGTTTGTACAAAAATATTTTAAAAAATTATAATTATTTTTTGATATATAGGTCATCATGCCCAAGTTTACGAAGAAAGAGAAACAAAGGCACTACATAGAAAAGATGAAGAGGATGGGGAAGTATGAAGAATACTTGAAGAAAAAAGCAGCAGCCATGAAGAGGTGCCGGGAGAAGCAAAAGCTGAGAGAGAGGACCTTGCCAAAATATGCGAGAAAACAACTGGAAAGGGAGACGAAAGAAGCAACAAAGAAACGAGTAGCAAAGCACAGGAAATTGAAGAAAGAAAGAAAGGCAGAAGCAGAAGCAGAAGCAAGTCATGGGCCCTTCAAAAGTGCGATGGCACTCGCAAAAGCCACTGCCAGGGCACATCGGATAATGGATCGAGTACTCCCCGACACTCCTAAACGGCGAATTGTTGTCTCTCGCAAGTTGTATGAGAAAGAAGCTAAGCAAGGACATGAACTACCATCAGCTTCAGCAGAGAAAAGGAAGACGGGTCCTCCTAAAGTCAGTGAAGATACAGTGAAAGTCATCGAAGACTTCTATGAGAGAGATGATGTGAGTCGCCAGGCCCCAGGCAGAAAGGATGTAGTGACTATTTGGAATGCAGACGGAAAGAAGAAAATGCAGGCTAGACACCTCACTGCTTCAATTAAAGAGACATATGCCTTCTTTTGTGAGATTTACCCAGAAGTACATGTGGGAAAGTCCAAGTTTGCAGAGTGTCGCCCAAAGCATGTCCTGCTTAGCCAAAAGTTGCCACATAATGTCTGTCTCTGCAGGTACCACGAGAATGCCATTAATGCTTTTACTGCACTTCACAAGGCTCAACCAGAATTCCCTGCTTACACCCGTGATCTCCCAGCTTTGCTCCTTTGCAAGCAACCATCAAGAGAGTGCTGGATGAATGAATGTGCAGAATGCAAAGATGGAGCAGGATTTAGCAAAGCCTTCTCTTTTGAGGGATCCCTTAACAGCCCTTGCTCATGGCTTCAGTGGGAGACGGATAAAGATGGACGGATGATGAAGATTCAAGAGGAGGGAACTGTAGGAGAGCTAGTACAGCACATCACTGCCATCTTACCTCAGTTCCTGCAGCACTGCTATGTAAAGCGTGAGCAAGCATCAGCATACAATGCTCAGAGGGAAAAAGTTTCTCCTGAATCACATGACACCCACAGTGCCCTCCTCCAGGTGGATTTCTCTGAAAATTTTACATGCGTTGCTCAAGATGAAGTCCAGAGCGCACATTGGAATCAACGTCAAGTATCCCTCTTCACTGCAGCACTCTGGTACTCTGGATCTCTACATTCTCATATCCTGGCATCTGATGACCTCACCCACTCCAAGGAAACCATCATAGCCTACCTTGATGTGCTGCTAGGATATCTACCAGATACGGTAACATCTATTTCTATCTGGTCAGATGGCCCAGCTTCGCAATTCAAAAATCGGTTTGTGGCAGCAGCACTCTGCACACTTCAAGAGGCTCACAAGATTCAAATCAAGTGGAACTTCTTTTCGACCTCCCATGGAAAAGGCCCCGTTGATGGGATTGGAGGGTCAGCCAAGCGCTTTGTGATGCAAAGAGTTCTGAGCCGCCAAGACATTGTAGCAGATGCAAGCAGCTTTGTTCTAGCAGCAAGCTTCATGGAGAATGTATGCGTCACAGAGGTCAAGTCAACAGAAATTGCTAAGCGGAATGAGAAGCTCAAATTGAAAGATGTTTTCATTCAGGCCAAGCCAATCACTGGCATCGGAAAGATGCATTTCCTGAAGGTCGTAAAGGATGAAGTGGTATCCCACATTCTCACAAAAGACAATAGGGCAGACAAGGATGATGTAGTGGTTACCCAAAGTGGTAGTAAGGCCATTGTAGTGGGAGATTGGTATGTGGTCGAGTACGAAGGAAAGAAATTTCCTGGTGAAGTTGTTGGGTTCACACGCAAGGGTGAGTTTCAGGTGTCAGTGATGGAGCCAGTGGGAAAGTACTGGAAATGGCCTACAAAAAAGGATGCCATTTTCTACATGGAGAGCAAGATGATTACAAAATTGGCTCCTCCAGAAGTTGTTAACAACCGTGGGCATTTCAAATTTTAGATTTGTATGGTATCAAGTAGGCCCTACATCAAATACATGCATTGGGTTATGGAATACAACCGCACATTTTTATTCTGAACTCTGTTAAACTTATCTCAACTAAAATAGTTACTTTGTGAAACCAAGTTATCATGTATGTTGACATGCATAATCCCATGGCAAATGGTGAACTTCAGAATCTAACATTTGGATAAAAAGTGTTGTAAATATGTTTGGATTGTTTCAAGTTGTGTCTGGGTAAGAGTTATAAATAACACTTACATTGATAACCATGTTAATTTACATGCAATTCCAAAGTGTATCTTTTGATTTTAAGGAAGGAGTACAGGTCTAAATCGACGGCAAATACATTCGTTAAAGAAGTTGTTAATAACCGTGGGCTTTTCAAATTTTAGATTTGTATGGTATCAAGTACATTTGTACATAAAATACATGCATTGGATTATGGAACAAAACAACACATTATCATTCTATTGTGTTATGGACTGAATATCTGCTCAATGTCTCTGTCATGATGTCATGAACTCTGTTAAAATTCTCTCAATAAAATAGTTACTTTGTGAAATCAAGTTATTATGTATGTTGACATGCATAATCCCACGACAAATGGTGAACTTCAGAATGTAACATTTGGATAAAAAGTGTTGTAAATATGTTTGGATTGTTTCAAATTGTGAGTTGGAGTTATAAATAACAGTTACATTGATAACTATGTTAATTTATATGTAATTGCAAAGTGTATCTTTTGATTTTAAGGAAGGAGTAGGTTTAACACTTGCTTTTTACAACGCTTATTTCTGCATGGACAAACTGTAACGTTACCAACCGGTAACGTTACCAACCATGAATTTTGGGTCTAATAAAAAATTGAAGAGTCAAGCTGCTAAAATTATTGGCTGAAATATTTATAATGACACTAGAATTGAAATGAATACGACACTTTGTTTGAGGTATCTCGCGTTTTAGGAAACTTTTGGTCTGAAGACACTGATTTTTTTCGCATGTCCTTTTTTTGTAACGTTACCAACCAACATTAAAAGTTACCATGGCGACTCTAATATTTGTTCAATTGTATTCATTCTTTTTTATATTATAGACCTAGGGTGGGTGAACATATTGTAACATGATTGTGACTTGAAATGAATAGATGGTGATGTAGTAGTAAAATGAAATATGAAAATTTGCTTAAATGTAACGTTACCAATTGTGGAATTGCCCATATATATATGGAAGATAGTATCCTAGCAACAGCTTAGGTCATTCACCCTTCTTTGTTCTTGACAACAAGCATAATGCCCCTAGGCGTGTATTTTATGACTCGATGGTTGCAGGAGGCATTGGATTATGGGAGCACTGCATAACATGTACATGCACAATACCTAGTGACTGCATGTTTACATGTAAGTGCATACAGAGTAGAATATCAACACTGTAATTTCCACTAGGGAATACACATCAATCACTATTTATGCATGCATGATATGTTCTGAATTTACACTTCTCTCTAATGAACATTTTCCTCATGCCGGCCAAAATTATCCAGTAACCTACATGTACATACTGAGTATACTACAGGCCTCTGCTATGAAAAGGAATATTTGCATACATGATAGATGTACATGTACATGTATACATGTATGTAGGTTCCTTCATTACCGGTATATTTTTTTTAAACAAAATCGATGTTCACACAATCTTTTTTCTTTCCAGTATGATTATTGAAAAATTGAAAGCGTGATTACATTTCCACATACATGTACATGTACATGTAATCAACAATTCAACATCTTAACTGATATTCTCCAAGACTCTTAATATTTCCTTGTTTATCTTCATCACCTTGAAGCAGTGCTTACACTGGAAGAAGAATAGTTTTTCTAAAACTGTTTAAAATACATTTGTATGTTTCTCTGATTGTTCTGCTTTTAATCATATCATTCCATAGTATGCTGGAGTTTACCTTTGACAACATCATGCAGTCTCTTTTAATGTCATTTCTGAGATTTCCATTATCATGCATGAGAAATAAGAATTCTTTTTTTTCCCTTCTTTTCAACCATCAATTACACATTTGTCATGATATTAAAATAATTGTATAATTCATATAACATGATTAAGTGATTTCACTTGAATATTGCATTTTAAGACATTAAACTTGTTCGGCATGGAGGGTGAGTGTTCGTGAATAAAAATGCATCTATTACGAGTGCTCTTGTCCCAACCTAAAACAGGAAGCTGTGCTTTAAGCAATTTGTACTTCTACCTCACAGAAACCACTTTAATGTACTTGACATTCATCAGTCCAAAGTCAAACAGGACTTTTCAAGATAATCTCCTACCTCATTTATACTCAATGATGCAATCAGCATGGCCTTTGAAATACTGTATACATGTACATGTACATGTAGTATTCCTCAATGCAGCTTAAATATTCAGGTGTTCCCCTCTAAAATGTATAAAACATTTTTATTTCCTCCTATACAGTGTACATTAAAAAAAAACTTTGATCCTCCTTTATAACATGAACGCTCCACATACTTTGAGTTGGTACCATTTTCTCTTATCTGAACAATGTTACCAAGTATTAAGGCTTCATACATAATCTTTGCTGAAAAATGTTGTAAACTTGAAAAATTACCAAATATGCTATTATGATTATTGATTCCATAATCAAAGGAAAGACTTCATGTATCGGTATGTGATGGAAATCTAGCAATGAGGTACATGTACACGTACTGTAGGTCTCATGATCTTTGGAGGAAAGTAACCTTTCTTTGAACTTAAAGGTAAAGATCAGTTCTGGTCATGCGATTGCATTGTGCAAGAAACATTGTGGAATCGATCAGAAAAGGTTGTTCATCTAGCATATTAGTATTGTTGTGTACTGCAAGGTTCATCAAAATGATAAGAAATTTGGCCCAGTTTTGGTAAAGTTACAAGCACTGTACACAGAAAGATGTATATGGGACTACGCGACACGTGCGCGATATCTATCCGGCCCGAATATTTTAATTTATATCATAATTTACCAATTATATATATATATATATTAGTAGGCGGTTTCCCAGCAAAATTTGTATCATCACGTATTACGGTAGTTAAAACATATTCTTTCCCATGATTGGTAAAAGAGCTTCCATTTTAGTTTTTAGAAAGGGGGGGGGGGGGCATTTCCAAAACTGGTCTATACCTTTAATGCATCATATGACTGACAAACATCAAAGGAAAAATTGTCCCTTCTCGTCTTCACTACAGAGCCTTCTTAATGATAGAGCATGCCCTCTAAGGCTCTAACTACACATTTCTCATTAGGATGCCTAGACCTGGCACATGTGCCCTTTGAAGCACCCATGAGGCCATGACCATGTTAGGTTACTTGTGTACCATATGTATGACATGCCATAAAACAATCTAGATACATGGATTCATGTATCATGTAGGCCTACTCATACCTCCTACAAAATGTAATTAGTACACCATTCACATATTCAGCAATAACAAATGCACAAATTATATTGTAAAATGAAAAATAAAAAAAATCAACCAAAACCTTAAAAAAAAAAATACCGGTAAAAAATGAAGTTTATACACATCTACATCAGTTCTTGTTCAAATAAAGATGAACCTACCTTGCTCAAATTGTACAAGTCTAAGCATTTGCCACACACATTGGGTATTTTCAGCCTGCAACCCTGCAAATAAAAGAACATGTACACATGTAAGTACCGGTAACAATGAGTCTGAATTCATGATAATAGTATCACACCCAACAAATCAAAGTCATCTCCCATTTTCATACCAAACTGAATTCTTATTCTACAAAATTGTGTCCTTTTGCAACGAGTATTACTATGTACAATACAGTGTTGTTTTTCTTAATCAATTTTTTTTTTTATAGTATTCTGTTTAAGAGCATAAACCGTTTTTCATTATTCTTTTATCCCAAAATTTAAAACCGTATTTGCTGGCGTAAAGGCCGCAGTATTTTCGGAAGAGAAAATATCAAAAAGTCTGGGTGCGGCCAATGCGCAACAACTAAAAATTCTGCGGTCCAAACAGCAGGTCCATTCGTACACATGGGACTACAATGACTATACAAAGGTACAGGACATTTCTAGAATAACTTCACACATCTTATTAACAATTTTATGTTGTATTGTTGACATGAAGACAAAAATAAGCTTCATAAGTTTTTTTTCTATTTATAAACAAAATCTACCGGTAGATCTATAAGTTTGTGCCATTGCATCACTAAACAATAAAAGAAGGGACTGTTACGGAGTTAGCTGCCGCGCAACGCAACTGCGCATCTGGCCAAAGTCGCAATTTCGTATTACACTGCAGATCGTGGTAGGGGTGTACATGTATGTAATGTACATGTACATTGTGGAATACCAAATCTGCCTGCGATACACACAGTACGGTACTATGTAAATTTAAAAGAATATTGATGATTTTGGCATCAATTTGTTGGCAAAATAGTGTTCTACAAAAGAATTACGATTATTTTGTTTGGTCCGTTTTTTTTCTTTTTTCTTTTGTGTTTTTTTTCTTTACAAAATGTTTTCTTTACGAAATGTCAAAGTTGGGGGTGCGGCCTATACGGTAAGACAGATCTCTGTGCAATGTTACTTTGAATAAGAAAGTTTTGCTAGGCATCTCCTACAATTTTTTCTCAGTGTTAAGACAACAATAACAACATGCACAGTACATGTAGCATAATATGATTGAATTTAAACTTTTATCAGTCAAACAAATTTACCTGCAGCTCCCAAAACTTGGCGATGCTGTCCAAGAAGTTAAGCTTTATTCTTGTCTTAGCCTGTCATAAACAAAAGAAAAGATTTGTTGGTTATTTTTAATACACTACAACATAACAACACAGACAGACAGACAAACATATTTATACTCCCTTCAAAAAACATGATTATACATGACACAGTTCATACATGTACATGAGCACACATGTATATGGATGAAGATACACAACTCTGATTGTCTTCAACCCCATACACGGTTGGGGCTATATAATTGTAAACATCTAGACATGCACAAAATGTACATGTACCGGTTTTCATTGATAGGAGAATCAGTATAGATCTGGGCCCCATCTTACAAAGAGTTGATATCAATCGCAACTTATTTGCGATCGATATAAAATAATCACAACTACATGTACATGTATGTACACTGTACATAAAAGATAGGAGATTGCAAACTTGCGATTGATGGGAGGTCTTGCGATTGATTTGGACGTATTTAACTCTTTGTAAGACGGGGCCCTGTACTCATCTATTAATAGAAGAACTAACAATTTCAAACTTATATTTTTAGATACAATAGATAAACAATGTACCTCCATAACAATACTAGCTTTGATATATTTGTTTAAAACATCAAGTGCCCTACATACATATGTAAATGGAATTTGAGCAATAATTGTCCCTAAATAATGATTAAAATATATATGCAAAATCACATTGCAAATTAAATTTAGGAACAATGCATGAATCTAACACAACCTAAACAAAAAAAATAAAATAAAATAAAAACCACTGCGTGTACATGACTGAATTTTTTTCCTTGAGAGTGACTGTTGTTAATGGATAATTACACATTGTGCCACAATTTGTGCGTCATGAGATCGACTCACAATCAAAATGGACTTTGGACTTACAGAAGGTGCCTATTGTCACGTACACACAAATATGTATAATGCACATTACTTTCAGTAGCTAACATTAATCCAGTCATTTTGTTTCATATAAAAATACACTGTACATATAGGTCAATCACCGCTTTGAAGGAAGGAATCAGAGAACACAGAGTTCATGGAAATATGTAAACAAAAAAATAGACAAAAAATGACATATATACATGTACAGTGTACATGTACTGTATACCAGCACTATACCAGCACTATATATTTTTAAAATTTTGTTAAGTACTATACATGTACGGTACGTATAATATGTACATGTAGGAGAAGACTACAGAGAATTGTGAAAGCCCGGAAAATTACATTTTGGATAATTTATGTTGCTATAGGTACAGGTACATGTACAGTGTGTATGGACAACTCAACAGAAAAGGAAATAAGAGCATAAATACACAGGTCTTTCCCTGTGCCCACAAGAGGGCTCACTTTAAAACACACTAAACAGCCCCTTGAAATTCATTTGCCTGAAACTATGTGCATTGCATCTATAATCTATTTATATTAAGCAAGAAAGTTCATACATTCTATTACTACATTATTAAATGACTTCATATTAAATTCTCAGGCAGGTATACATGTGTGTAAAACTTTATAAAATATTTGTTAAAATGAAAGAGTTGGTCTACATGTATATTTACCTCAAGTTCATTCAGTCTTTGTATACGTGGTGTGAATCTAAAATTTTCAACGTCAACAGCAAATGGGGGTTGCCAGTCCTGTAAAAGGAAAGAAGACAAATTAATCAAAATCTTATTCACGCTGGAATATATTCCGAAATTAATTTACTTGCCACAAAGCCTCAGCAGTTTAGGCCCTATGAATGACATTCATATTTCCTTATATTACCATCATTTATTTATAATTCCAGAATTATGACAATTGCGATTCAAGATACTTTCTCTTGTTTTAAACCTTTGAAGGGTATATAGACCGAGTACAGTATACAAGTACACAATCTAAATCTATTTTTATCCAGGTATTTTTCATGTCAGACCAACATAAAGTTAAATGACTTCTTGACCTTTGCTTAACCCCTTGAATTTTACCCTGGAGATCATGGAATCTGGGGTTTAAATTTGGTGAATTTGTACCTCAACATATTTTCTACATCATAAAAAATGGAGATTTTATATTTTTTTGCTTTCCAGCCGTTTAATCTGTAACAAGCCGATAATTACTTGCTGATAGTGATAATCTTAACTGTACAGGTGAGAGTTTTAGTTTGATACAGGCAAATAATAATACTGTTCTGAATAAATTACTGACAACAAATTTTTTTAATTGACTATTCTAAATGTAAAAATAAGCTTTAGCTGACAAGTGAACAATTTTGTTTTTTGTAGATGTTTTAAAAAACTAAAAAATGCGTTGAGGTATAAATTCACCTCAAGATTTCATGGTCTTCAAGTAAAACGAATGGTGTAAGCAAAGGTCAACAATTCACCCAAGTTGCTGTTCACAAGTTTAGACATGGAAAATAAGATAATGTGATTATCTCTTTGAATCAATATCAACAAATTCGACCCCGGTTACTATATAAGCTGATTTCAAAAATTGCAACTAAAAGGGTCAATATTTGGGCTGTTTGCTTGCGGAATTCCTGCCATTACACGAAATTGACGAAAAACTAGGCCCTCTTGCATTTAAAGAGAAGGTTGAGTTCTGGGAAGAGGTGAAAAATAATTTGTGAGCGTTATCATTCTTATTATGCAAGTGTGGGAGAACATCAGATAAGACATGTTCACTGAAAAGCATGGCTCTTCAAATGCCTTCATATTCTAAATATGTCATGTAACATCGTTAAACTCGGGGGTAGGATTTTTATGCCACATGTTCGTGTAGTCCCATATACATCTTTCTGTGTACAGTGTTTGTAACTTTACCAAGACTTGGCCAAATTTCTTATCATTTGATGATTCCAGAACCTTGCAATACACACAAATTCTTATATGCTAGATGATCAACCTTTTCTGGTCGATTCCACACCGTTTCTTTCACAATGCAATCGCATGACCAGAACTCAACTTCATCTTTAAGATTTGCGCTTAAATGCAACACTGAAAATCAAACGCAAGTCCTATAAATCAAGCGCAACTTTGTGTTTGATTACAATTCCATTGCATAAAGAGTTGCGTTCCAAGCACAACTTTTCCAGATCAAACGCAAAGTTGCATTTGATTTCAATCGCAACTCTCTTTATGCAATGCACAGTTGCGTTTCATACTTTCATTGCAACTTGCGTAAGATATTTGCGTTTGATCTGAGTTACGATCAATCGCAACTTGACTTTTATGTAAGAGTGGGCTACAAGTCTCAGCTTTAAAAAAGACTTACTGTAGTTATTCCATAAACCAATTTGGGCTTATTTGAAGAATGTAGTGTTTAACCCATTTGGTGATCTGACAGTGACACAGAATGACACAAAATACACTCATGAAGAAATATTCTGGCACCTAGCCGAGTTAATAGCAGTAAAACTAAAAGGATATAGAGCACCTCAAGGAGCTGCCTAAAAATTAGGCAATTGTGGCCAGAATATAGAAACTTCCAAATTATTCCAAAAAATATCCCAATGGGGGAGGGGGCTGCAGCCCCATAGCCCCCCCCCCCACCCCCGCCTCATACAGTGTAAGTCTATGAATTTTCACAAAGTCAACTACAAGTACATGTAGTAAAGACACACAACCAATTAACTGTGCCATTTACTTTACACTCATACATGTACACGATCACACTAGGGCTTCACACCATGGTCAGTCATCACCACAGTTTCCCTATGTCCAGTACTCCTCTTTACACAAATTTAAACCTTCCCCCCCCCCCTTTGATACATGTACATGATGTCCATGTTCATCAGGCCTATAGCGAACATGAACTTAAACTTAGATAATATGAGAAGTGTCATACAGTCATAATAGTAGGTGGCATATGAATGGCAGAATGTACTCTTTGTAAGGCTTGTGTAAAGTAGAGAAGTGAAATTTAGATTTTTTTGCAGGAAACCCCATCCCCTCAAAAAAAAAAACGTATCAGACTAGTATCAGTACATAAGACCAAGTAAAAAAAACTAACAAGTTCTCATCCAGACTTTTTCAAAAAAGAGGAGGCGGCGCTTTAATTTTTTTTTTCTCTATTTTTTCTATTTTTCTATTTTTTCTATTTTTTTTCCAAGATGGCCTCCAGGCTATTTATTCACATATTGTGTTATTTGAGTATACTGATGCCATGCATGACTAATTAATAATAATTTGTACATGTATCAGTTTGAAATTCAGAAACAGTGACAGATGTACATGTACATGGTTCAACTTCAATTAGCTTAATTTAAAAAGAAGCTAATGTGTATGTACATACAAAATGTACATCACAGCCTCTTTTTTTCTTCTGAATAGTAAATAGTTTGAAAAAAGGAGGTGGTGGCAAAAAAGAAGTTGGGCAGGGACGAGAAACTCCTAAGTTTTATTACCTACATGTAGCCTAATACTGCCTCAAAAGTCCAGCTAGAGTTGATCCTTGGGTTGTCATGCCATGAGGACATGTGCTGTGCATGTAAATGTATGATGGGGGACGGTGACCACAAGCTACGTACTTTATTTTCAACAGTAATATTGTCATTTTTTTTCAGTGGTCTATGCAAATTTCTTCTACCTCTATTGGTTCTTCATATTACATGTACAGCGTATGAAGCTGAATCGTTGAAAAAATTATGGCAAATGTCAAAAACACACATTTTTAACATGATATCAAATCTTATCGATGCCTGTGTCAATTTTGGTGGCCGAATTGAAAGAGTCGTAAAGCTACGTAAAACTTGACTTTTTAAAGCTGAATTTAGCTGATGGATGGGAATTTCACCTCAATTTGTAACTAATGATAAGTTTCACACAATAATAAAAGGAAAATTACCAATTATTTTTGGCAAATATCAATGAGATTCTCGTTGCTCAATCACATCAAAAGTTTGGCGCATTGCACGTATTCACAAGGTGCGTAGCTTAAGGAGTCAGGACCCATGTACAGTAGCTTTAGAACCCTCTACCATATGAGACGTGGGGCCGTGAGCCCCTCCAGGAAAAACGTTGCGCTTGATCCGGATCAAGCGCAACTTGTAATTAATCGCAATTATAAAATGGCTCTAGTATTTTAAGCATCGTGATTGGTCAACAGGCCTTAAATTTCAGTATTTTTAGGGCAAGGCCACTTTTCTGTAGGGCACATTCCTATATTACAGCACAAATAGGAAGAATTGGAAAGGGCACCAAAAATCTCCAAGGCCAATGGGAGGGGCATTGAGGCCAATCAAGGGGGCATCCAAGGCCATGGCCTTGGTGGCCTTGGATTAATTTAAGCCCTGGGTCAATACGCGTCACATGACATTGAAAAAATTTTGATGCAAGCACGATTTTGCAGAAATGAGTGCAGAAAAAGCGCAGTAAAAAGTTATATTGCACGGTGCGTACGCGTGACCATGGAGATCCAGTGCGCGCGCGTACGTGTAGTACGCGCTCCCTCGAGTTGCATTGCAATTATTGTAGGCTACGCGTAGCTAATATTGTACGCTCCACCATGATCCCCAGCGCAACGTACGCGTAGCTAGCTCTAGCTAGCTAGCTAGAGCGGCCAGCGGGGAATTATTAAAAAGCAAATTTTTATTTTACTTTTGCCTTGGATTTAGGCCTGTTTTGACTTTTGGATTTTATAATGAAGCCAGGAATTTCAGCTGTCTGATGTAGACTCGTCTCTAGACCCACTGTATGGATTTTATTTTTAATCAAGGCAATGAATCCCATTGACTTTTTGGTAAGCCTGCAAGGTCTTAGTCTAATTAGAAGTAGAACCAACATAACTCTAGATCTAGATCTAGATCGAACTCTCGTAGACTCCAACTTATTAGATCTAAAGTTTCGTTTTTGCTATTTTTGTCGCTATTTTATAAAACAAATAACGCACTTGACCCTGTTGTGCAAAACGTAAATGCAGTAAACGCTCGGTTTCTTCAGATGGTTCGCACTGTCAACTCGCCGCAAGCGGCTCGTTGCACAGAGCGGCACCAATCTAAAGAAACCTCGCGCGTACTGCATTCACCGCTATTGCACTCTGGGACGTGCGTTATTTGTATACTATTATTTCTTAAGTACCGGTACACAGTTGCAATAAGTTTCAAGTTGCGATTTTCTAAAATCAAACCTAACTCTATAATACAGGGGCCAGATGTGCCAATTTTCAACAGATCCTCTGAAGATCAACTCAAGAGTCTATTCCTAAATATAATAGAAAACAAAATGTTCACAAAAGCTAATTTTAATGAACAATTAAAATGTCACCATTTATGCTATACCACTGAAATTGTATGCAAAATTAATAAGTTTAACGCTTGGCAAAATACCGGTTCCAAATGGTGCACCAAGAATCTCAGTGTAGAACCTAAGTAGAAGACTAGTAGAACTAAAGGTACCAACCAGTCATCAGACATACATGTACATATATAGATCTAGATTGAATTTCTATAGACTACCGCTATGAAAATGTTCAGTCATTCAGTTTAAAATTTAATGATTTCTGATGATCTGATCATTCATGTTCCCTTTGTCTTCTTATCTAGTTTGTGTAGCCCCCTTCGGATAATAAATCACAAATGATTTATGATGCAAATATTTTCTACCTTCCCAAATCCCAATCCTAATAATAACATAAACAGAGATAAAGCAAATTACAATTTTGATGCATTCTATCTTGGCTCAAATTCAATGTTGTAAGATACATGTTTGTCCTTGACCTTGACATTGTCCTTGGTCATAGCACGTATAGGAATAGGATCAGTTCCCGAGTAAAAATTTAAATTTGAAACTTGAGAAGGCAGTGGAATCTGACTGTAGGAGATCAGGCAACAGCACTAGCTCATGTATGTAGCTGTGCAGCATGCATCATTTTTCCCCTTCAAGCCTTGGCATTTTCACGTGAAATAAGCATTGAATATGTGGAATTAGTCTCTTTCTACAGAAAAATTAGTGCCCCAGTCAACACCTTTTACCAATGACGTGTGAAAAATACAAGTTATTTCCAAAAAATATATTGCCAAACATGCACCCATTTGTATTACCATGACACAGCTGTGGCAGCAGGGCAGCCATATTGTCTGAGCAAATTTGTCACAATTTTGTCATTTTTTGAAGGATAACACAGAAATACCAAAACAAATTATCCTCATTTTCTACAAGAAATACTAATGAATTGGATTTTTATTTTTTTTGCTTGAGAATACTGCTTGCTTGTTGGAATATCTCAATTCCTGTGAAACAGAGCATTGTCATTTGGCAGACTCTGGCTCTACTTCAGCCAGTTGTGTTGCATGTATACTGTTGATCTGTCCAACCCACTGCAACAAAATGTCTGAAGAACTATTTTCAGACTGCTTCATGGGGATGAACATTTTCATATAAAAATGGGGTGGGCAGTCAAAATGAACACAATAATATTGTCAGCACACTATTTGACTATCAACTGATGGTATTATCTTCCCCCTTTCTTCAATATTTGAGCTACGATATCAAATTATTTGAAGGAATGTTTTTCTGAATTAACGTCGTTGCATCACATTCGTCGAGTTCAAACAATAGACTAGGGAGCGTTTGCACGCAGTAGCACAGCGCACCCCTAGTGAAACGTACACTCTATGGGTAGATGAGGTGGAAAGCCTGAATAAACAATTCTTAAAATTTAGAGTGTAAGTACAAAACTGTGCAAGTCTATGAAAAGTTTGGACAAGATTACCGTAGAACTAAAGACTGTCTAGCATGTTATAATGGTCACAATACAAATACCGACAGAGTGGTAGGTGAAAATTGAATTTTATTCGAACAATATTCGACCGTCTTACCGGTGGGGGTCTGATTTTACAGATGCCAGTTTTCTCCGCGATAGGCCGTATCTTGGCAATGTAAGCGAGGGGGTCTGAGAAATCTTCCTCCGATGGCTCAAAAACTGGAGCCTCCGGAGGAGGAGTAAAAATCTGGTCGTTGTCCATAGTTATAATTCCAAAAAGATCCTCTGAATAAAAGTCACACCACTGATTACTCGTTCTAAAGAGATTTTTTCACATGTTTTAAGAGGATTTCTGCGTGATACCCAGTTGAAAACATTACGTGGATCGGCTCTCATCGATATCCACATGTTACGAGATATCGATATGCATGTGCGCATGTGCAGATGCGATAATGATATAAATGAGATAAAAATGATGGCCATGTACAACTTTTTATAAACATAGAGACTAATCATGGCAGAACTTCAGCAAGTCACTATCCCACCCTGTAGTACAATCAAATACATATATATATATATATATATATATATATATATATATATGTATACATATTCAAGCCAGTACAGCCAAATAAATGCCCTCTTTTTACAAAATAAAAGAGCTCCTTTTTCCCCTCCCCGGCCCTTCCTTTTCTGATAACCACTCTTTTTTTACTTCTAATAAGAGCCCACGTACTTTTTAAATTCTGATGAGAGCCCTTTTCCTTTCTGACAACATGCCCCTTGTTCTCTTCTGATAAGTGGCCATCTTATACCAATATTTTGTGTGTTTTTTTCTTCTAACAAATTATCCTAGTTTTCAAGCACTGGCATAATAATGGTCCCAAAAATTCAAGGACCCCCATCCCGGCCCCACCCCCTCAAAAAAACTAAACAAAAGAAAAAGAAAAAGAAAGGGATAACATGGAAATTAAAGGAGGATAGAGAATAAAATATATCAAATTTTTACACTTATTGTTTACCCCAGCATCTTTTATTCGTAATGATTCCATATGTTGTCTAACTAAAGTAGGCCCTAAGTATACCTGTCACCATATTCAAGCTACGTTTTGTAGGTCCTATTGTATTTTCTCTTTCATCGTATCTATGAACCAAATTTGTAGAATATATAAAGTCCTTGAAGGTCCTTCAAAATGAAGGTAGCATCAGAAGAAAGAGTCTCCTGAAGCAAGTATGATTGGATGAGTTTCAAGTTGAAAATCTTAAAATATAGCTTGCTCAAACAGCATTTTGACTGAGTAATTACAGTCAGGCATTAACATCACCTATTTCTACCTTTTATTTCTTTCTTTCTAAGTGCATAGAGATGCAACACAGCAGTGGTATGCGCAATAAAAGCACTGTATTATCATTAGTACCAACTCTGAGATCATCGATATTGTGTCATCTTTGAAACCATCTAAATCTATATATTTCACCTAGAATTATGAAGGATTGCATTTACCTTTTTATTGATCTCTGGTTATTAATATGTCTTTATCTCAGGAAGTTGTTCCTGACAAACTCAAGGTATCTGTAGTATTAGTGTATACAAATTCTGACCGTAAAAATGTCATTAATTAAAGGCCAATAGCATTGTTAGCAATCTTGTCTAAAATTCTTGAGAAAATAATTTATAAACGCTTAAATGAGTTTCTATCTAAAAAGAATATCTTGATTCCTCAGCAGTGTGGTTTTCGTAAACAATTCTCCACACAAATGGGTATGTTTAATTTATTAAGTATTCTTAGATCTATCTAACGCGTTCTTAACCATTGACCATGGCATCCTCCTCAGGAAACTTGAGCATTATGGAATACGTGGTGTAGCATTGTCTTGGTTCCAAAGCTATTTTTTGACAGGACTCAATTTGTTGTGGTGGATGGTACTAGTTCTCAACTTGCTTCTATTAAATATGGTGTACCCCAGGGTTCTGTTCTTGGTCCCCTGTTTTTTTAAATCTATATAAATGATATAATACACTCATCAACATTATGCTCATATACCCCGCACTGTTTGCGGATGATACCAGCTTGCTGCTGGTTGATAAGAAGGCTGAAGATTTATTGCTAATTGCAAATCAAGAGATTCAGAAACTGTATGCATGGTATTGTTGTAATAAGTTATTGTTGAATGTTCAAAAGACCAAATGTTTTATTTTTCGCTCAAAGGGTAAAAAGCTTCTAGATGGTATTACTTTTCTTAATGTTGGAGGCCATGATGTTGCGCTTAGTGAAAATGTTCAGTTCTTAGGGTTAACTATGGATGAGCATTTATCTTGGAAGAATCATTTAGATGTTGTATGCTCAAAGTTGTCCCGAAGTGTAGGTGTCATTTTTAGATTAAAATTCATTTTACCTGAAAGAGTGCTGATAACATTATATAATAGTATTATTCTTCCTTATTTGACATATTGTAATGTTGCTTGGGGAAACACTTTGAAGTCATATAGTGATAAGTTGGGGTAGTGAGGACCATTTCTTTTTTTTGCTCCCCAAAATGTGAAAATCACGCCGGCCGATAATTTGCTCAGTGGCGGGAGGAGGGAGGGGGGGGGGGGGGGAATTAGTGAGCCACTGTCTGTAAACTGGTGGTATTAAATAAACGGAGAGGAGTCATTCCCCTGGGTGAAAAAGGAATATTTCCCAAAGTTATCAATTTGTTTTCTTTCTCTTTCTCATCTTCATTTCCTCCCTCTTACTCTCTGTCTTTTCTTTCTCTATCATTTTCTCTCTCTTTGTTTACCCTCTCTCTATCCCTCTCTCACTTTTCTCTGCAATTTTCTTTTATTCTCTCTGTATTTAGCAACACTAAATATCACAAATTAATCAACATAAAACATGTGCATAATTTGTAACCTTTGATCCTATTACTTATATTTGGATAGCTACAAATAAAATTAGGCTTCACAGTAAAATCTTAAGTCATGTAAAAAAATCCATCTAGTTGAAGTTGCTGTAAAAAATGCAATTAGATGAAACCTAGTAATACTTGATTCTTTGTAATTCATTTTTAAACATTGTCTCTACACAATACATAATGGAAACGTTTTACTTGTATATAAGCATAATGCATATACATATTTGCAAGAAATAAAATCAATGAAACTATTGTCATAATGCTATCAATGGATTTGGGGATATGTGGGGATTCAATGCAAACAAAATATTGTGAGGTTTACAAAATGGAATTAGAGACAAATATATGATTTTCAAGGCATCCGTTCGTCAAAATATTATCATGAAATAATAATGCTGATAAGTTTTAAAAGACACTTTTTTTGTCTCACTTGACCAATGCTCATCACACATATCATGTTTTTAGAAAGTTCAAAACATTTAATTGTTACTTTCATATAAAGCAGTGTTAAGGAGGTATCATTCTTGAGGATGGTGTTTCATTGAATTCATTTAATTGTTTTATACCAAAGTTAAATGCACACTTCTAAAGCAAAATTTGTTATTTCAATTGAATTTATTTACTCAAGAATGGAAGACACTGGAAATAATGAATATACTATTTAAATCCAATTCTAATCTTACTTAACACATTGTAAATTCTTCACTGAACTGAATTATTTTATGTCTGTTATAATAGAGTTTTGATGATAGTTAGCAAGATAATAAAGCTCTAACAGATGGCCAATATGCCTACATACGTTTAAGATCTGCCATTTTCATGTGAATGGTAACATAACTAGCACCCAATATGATATGCTTTGATAATATCTTTCCACTTTGTATTCTACTGAGGATTAATTACATTTCATGTAGCATGTCAATGTATCAATAAAATTGTCATATTTCAAACATATTCCAGATTACAGATTGAGCCAGTAACTATGTGACATCAATAAAGTTAACAATAATAACGATGTCGGTAATGCTTGTACTACTGAAAAGGTGATCGATAATAATAATAATAATAATAATAATAATAATAATAATAATAATCATAATCATAATAATAATAATTTATGTATTTATCATCATTTTAAGATTTATTATGGAATAATCATATCAAATAAATAAGTAAGCTTCATATTTTGTAAAATGGAATCTGACATTATCTCTATAACCACCCTCTATACCTTGGCTTACTCATTTATTACCTCATTCATTATGTATGTTTATCATATGTGTGTGTTTATCATTGTCCTGTAATATCTCATTTATATATTTGTATTGTATTACTTTGTAACCAGTGGAAACCAAATTTCCTGATATGGATGATAAATAATTATCCTTATATTTATACTTATGATCATTATATAATGCGATCAAAAAAACTTCCATATAATTAACAATGATTGTGAGATATATTCACCAGGCAGAATGAACTCTGTAAATCCTAGAATGACCAATTATCCAAATCAGTAATATAATTAAATACTGAAATTGAAATAGAGCTGATAACCTCAAAGTGTTCACATATGTGGGAAATCCTAAATTAACTGATAGTATCCATTAATTATTTAAGTGACATACAACACTTTTAATACATCAAATCAAGTGTTTGGAGGGGGGGGGGGGGGAGAGTTGAATTCAGTGTTAGAGATTTCAGTGATTCACCTTGTCTTACCGTACAAACAAAACCCAGGACCGTGCCATTCTGATTAAATTAAGCCAGGGCATGGCTAAAGTTTAGATCAAATCAAGTTTAGGGGGGAGGGGGTGGATCTTGAATTCGGTGTTAGAAATTTCAGTCAAATATCTTTTTTTACTGTACAAAAAAACCCAGAAAGTTCTGATTAAATTATGTCAGGGCATGGCTAAAGTATCTATAACCAGAATAGGCCAACATCTTTTGCTGCAGCCATTAGACAAATGAAATAGTGAATTCTGTCTCTTTCATTGACTGACATTTGGGTCTCAATTCCCAAAGGAGGTCCCAATTGAAATTTATTATCAAACCACTGTCTAAACTTCCATGGACAAAAAGCAAAGACTGCACATAAGGCCGGCCACACACATACAATTTTGAGGAAATTTAAACCTCACCTACTCAGTAAATTCCAGCAGCATTGCTTCTTCATTCATGTACAGTAGGCTTGCGAGTGCACCACGTGAGAGAGAGAGAGGATTGAGGAGTCCTGAAAAGGACTCTTTGTAATCTTTCTTCATTTATGTTGCTGTATTTGCTAAAAACTACATGGTCAATAATTCATAAAAACTGAAGAGCCATACTAGATAGTTATATAAAGGAATGTCTCTAGGCACAGCCTGGTTTCACCATCCTATACCACTACAATGAAAATATTATACTAGTTAATGGCTTAGTATAAGCACACACTTTGATTCAATTGGATCATTTGGATCACTGAAATGGTTTGATTGCTGCAATCTATTGGATCATGTCTGTACCTTTCCTATTGCACTTTGTATAAATGTATCATGTAAGTATTTCATCTTTTGCACAAGCTGTGCCTTGAGCATTTGACTGTCAAGTGGATTTGGCGCCTTATAAATCTTATGTATTATTATTATTATTATCAGTATAGCGGCAACGTGCAGTGCATCCTCTGATTCACTGCAATCTTCTTTCATGTGGCTAAAATTCTTCGAAAGGAAGGTTGATTGGAACTTCTTTCATGTCACTCAGATCAGGAGCTGCTTTGGCTACAGAAGACAGACAGCTCTTGCCATTGTCAACGAGCGTCCTGACTCTCTCCACACACCCCCTAACATCCAACATCCTCAGGTTCAAGATCTGTTTGGAAAAAAGTTATTTCAAATAGAAATCCTCTGATAAAATGAAAATCCCTTGATTTACGGATCTATAGTGATATCCTAGAAATAAATTAAATCCATTGCTATTGCTTTTGCTCCTGCGGTGCATAAGAAAAAGTAAATTCCTTTACATAAAAATTTTAAAATTCATAACATGTCATCATACATAGTCCATTGAGGTTTTGCAGTGTTATACTACTAAAAAACGAACTATTATCATCATGATTACAAAATTTATTATTAATTACAAAGTTTATCTTTAAAAATGTTCACAAGAAGGTAAAACTTACATCATCCACTTGTTGAGAAATGAAAGCCAGCCTTGTTTTTTGCTGGTACAGCCATCTTTTCAGATCACATGGAGGAGAAGACTCTAGAAGGATCTCTAAGAACTCCAAGACAGAGTATGCCTGCAATTCAAAACAGATGTACTAGTAGTTGACATTGAACAGAATTTGCGTTTGTGCTGAGCTATATCAGTTATGCCTCAGTCACACATGTGCGTATTTGGCTTGCGTATTGTTTTACAACAGAAAATCATTTCTTGATTTTAAGAAAAAGGAACAAATGTTAAAACAGCTTGCCATAAATACGCAAGCCAAATAAATTAGACCACTCGCAAAATTTACGAGTCTGTTTTACTTGAAAGCTCTTGGTATTATGGAAAAGAAACATTCATGACTTCTAAAATAATGTAAACACTACTAACTTATGTATTAATAGTGACTTGATAAACCCCTGACATCTCTAAAATGTGAAAGATCCGGAGTGCCTCAAATTGTTGCTGCTTTTATATTGTAAAAACAGAGGCATTTTACATGTTTGTAAAAAAAAAAGAAACGACAACAACACCAACAACAAACAATTGATAGTGATATGAGTTTTGAAGAGACAAATTCTGGACTCCTTCCTCGCAAGAATATGTCATTATCCCAATGAAAAATTTATGGCTGGGGCTCATTTTCCGATTGGGTTACTTGTCTTTCCGTAAAACATGTACATGGCCTACCTCCAGCAGAAAATCTGAAGAATTCTTGAATAAGTCGTTTATTTCTTCCAAGAGCTTCATCCCAGATTCAGCACCTCTCAGCAGGGAAAATGTTGCAGCCTTTGTAGATGTTGAGTTAGGTGCTTGTCTGTCGCACTCCTCTGAACTCTTATCAAGGGTTAGTGCGAGAGCCTGAACACACAAAATGGGGGGAAATATTTGCAATAGGTCTACTGGTCTAGGCAGTTTATAGAAAGCAAATCACATAACAAGGTTCATATAACTGTCTATACGCCATAGTATTATGCTGTCCTTTGCAAAGCACTGTTTTAATTGTAATATGTTTGAGGGTTGTATGACCTTCGCCCTTCATGAGCAGTGTCTTGTTAGTGTCAGTTTTTCCTTATGAGATGGTTTGAAACCCCTTACATATCATAACTAGTAGTTGTTCCTTAATGTCATGGTGGCAGCAGTGGGATATGAACCCATGCCACTGAAATGATTTGTGACTCGAAGGAGAGGAGAAAAGAAGACATCACACCATCGTATTTATGCTGCCATCTGTGAGTGTGAGGCATTGTTTTACTTTTAATAACATGTTCAAGAGTTGTATAATGTCTGTTTCAGTTATTAAATGCCTTATTACATAGATCTTAAACTGCTTATTTACTGTGACATGTAGTTGTTCTTTTAATGTCATAATGTTTTCATAATGAAAAGAGACCTAACATCTAGGGTAAGGGTTAAAATTGTGTTTTATATTTTAGTTTTATTGTTAGGATTAGGTTTAGGGTTAGATAAAGTGTTTCTTCTAGGGTTGAAATTGGGAATTCAGATAATGTAAATGATTCTTCATCCAATCCTTTCTTTTCTTGAAGAGTTCTTGTGACTACTTAGTGAAAAAGATCTCAGGTCATATTGTTGCCAAAATGCATCTGTAATAACCCATCCAGGCAAGCTAAACTTGTGGAATTAGACCAAAATAGCCCAAATATAGTCTCTGTCTTAGCATCGGTACTTACCACCCTGTTGGCCAGTTGGTGGGCCCGTTGACTCCGCCTAGAACTGTAGACTCTTGATCTCTTGAAATGGTGCATTATTGAGAACTGGTATACATGCTCCATACTTTGTTTGCCAAACTCAAAGGTCTGTAACATTACCACCAAAAAAATTGTATCAAGAAAAACATCGTATTTTACAGCCTTAGCCACACCTGTACCTAAACACGCTTAAAGTAGAATCAAATCATTTGAATTTCTTTTGCTTTTTGCAAACATGGAAAAGGTTCTTTTTCCCCCCTCTTTTCTAAACATACATGACACATGCACACATACATTATGACTTTTTCATGAACCAACTTGAATTATAAGAAAGAAAAAAAAAGTAAATAGATAATCCTATTTCTACTATGTTAAGTCTGCTGACAATTATTTTGTCTGTGCTATTAAAACAAGGTTAATAACACAACAATTGTGGGGAAAATGTTGACTGAATCTTCTACCCCAATGAATAATGCAGACCCCTTCCATTAATATTATTCATTGTAAAGCATTTCCACAAAAATGAAAACATCTGCATATTTTCTACGAAAAAATATTGTATTATAACTTCAATAATTCTATACCGTAATAACCTGATGTGTCCTTGTTTAATTCATTGTAAAAGGAGACTATGGAGTAAACTAGCAAATACGAGGTGCAAATTTATTTGCACATTGCATATTGATTCATAGAATGGATTTCCCCAAGGCCAATCCAATCTATGTACTTGAATTATATATAAAACTTACCTCAAGAGTAAGTGTTGCTTGTTTGCATTTGTAAACATCATGGTCAGAACTCAGTCCTCCACATCTCCAACAGAAAGTGCATAGGCAGGAACATGTCATAAAATCGCAGCCTGAAATCTTCTCAATTGGATTGTTACACTTTGGACAGTTCTTGTGTCTGATCTCGTCAATGATGCTTTCATTTCCTCTATTCACAGACTTTACTGTAAAAATACAACATGTAGAACAATGTATTACCTTCTGAAATATTTAGCAATAGCAAATTTTTTACCTAATAAAATATAAGACACTTTTTGGCCAGCCCATGTGACTTACATACCCTGAGCTAAAACTCTTTAACAATTAACATTACTATATTATCTCTTTGCTGTGTATCTCTTTACACATTCTGGCAGTAAACATTACATTATTTAGTAATACCGGTATGCGAAATATTTTGAAATACTTTGATTAAAAAAAACTGAGATAGCTAATATTTTCACCTTCCATTAAAAAAAACACCTTCACAGTACGTTGCTCAGACATAAAGTAAGACACATTTTAGGCATGAATGTCATCTAGATCATGCAACAAAGCAGTATATATTGTGATTGATCAGACATTTCCTCTGGCAACAATTGCTCCACGCTTTATTTCATCAAAGATAGGGTTAGGGTTAAAATTGGGTTTTAGATTAGATGTAGGGTTCTGGTTTAGATCCAGGATTGAAGTTAGGAATTTGGTGTAGGATATGGATCTTTGAAGGAATTGTCACAGAAGCATAGTGCAACCAAAGGAGCCATGTGTACACTTACAGACAATAGCATTATCTGCTCTGTATGTAGTAGCTTGGACACAGGTCGCCGGCCAGTGGGTTTCTTGCATGCACTTGGAACACCAGACAAAGCCACATTCACAAGTGATGGTCATTCCCTTTGATGTTACATCAGTGAATCTAGCCACACGTCCACACCCCGTGTTAGGACACCAATGTAGATGCTTGTCACTGGCTACCGTAGCATTGATCTTCTGTTGCCGATGGAAAGATGCGAGCTTGTATGGCACCAGAGACATCACGGTCACTCGGTCAACTGGCACCTTACAGTTGAATTCCTTCAAAAAGGTAAATAAGAGAAGGCTCATACATCAATGTATCATGTTAAAAATCAGGCAATATATGATTTACTTCACATTGCCGACAAGAAAATAACAAATAACAAAAATATTTAAGTATGAAACATGAAGAAAAGAAACCAGATTACATTTGTAAGAAATCACATGAATATGTTTTTCAGTGAGTTATTACACAATACACAGTAAAAATATATTCATCAAGATACATGAAAAAAGAAAAAATTACACTCCATAGATGAGAAATGGAACCATGTATCAAATAAGTTAATAGTGCTCATTGCATCTATTGTTCTACTGGAGAAGACGAATATTAATGAGTCAGAATTAATGATGACCTAGAATCAGTAACTGTTTCACCTTCATTGTGGACCTACAATAGCTTGGAGATTTAGCCACTCCCTGGACAGCATAACATGTTGCTTGTTAAAAAAAAGCCAATTTCAAATAGTGGCAGTTAAGCAAATTTCTTTCTTATATCATTGCTTCTGGGAACCGGGTGGCTCCTGTGTTAAAGCCTATGCAGACCTGCCAACCTCTGGAGTTTAAAAACTGTATTCTTTAATCCCAAAAGTTGTATTTTACTGACAAAAGTTGTATTCTTAAAAATATACACAGACTGTTACGCGGAAGTATTTTTTTAATGGATAATTGGTTTAATATGCACGATTTCATCACAACTGTTGTGTTCAATGAAACAATGAACATCCCCAAATTGCCGATGTGAGATGCTTGTAGGATACTTTACAGGACAGAGTGGGAATTTTGCCATTGAAAATGGCACACACACACAATTTTTTTGTGGTTTTTTTTGTTGAAAATCGTATTATATTGAGGAAAATCGTACTGTCGTATTTACTTCTAAAAATCAGACGAAATACGACTAAATCGTACTGGTTGGCAGGTCTGCCCATGGCCATTAAAGAATTCAGTAGTCGAAGGTTTGAAAAAAACCTAATCTACTTGACTTACTGGGCAGGTGATATGTGGATTTCCCTGCGAAACTTTGGCGATCAGGTATCCCTTCCAGCACTCATCACAGCACAAGTGGTTGCATGGTTGTAGACAAGTACCAGGACACATCTCTGAGACATCCGAAAAGCAGATCCTACAAGCGCCCTCATGGTCCTCACAGAGTGCAGGGACCTGTTGTTCACTGGTCTTATCCTCCTTGCGTTTCGCATCCTCATTTGTAACAATCTACAAGGAAACATGAAGTTAGAAAAATATTTTCAGAACTCTGCCGGCTTCTACAAAAGATTTTGTTTAACTTTGGTCTAAATGGAGTGGAATATGGCCTTGTGGCATCTCAGGAGGTGGTTTGTGAAGTCAAGACTAAAGAAATTGTGCACATTGAAATATGCATTGACAGACTTGTCAAACTTGTCAGTACCCTTGTCAGAAAGACTCATGTTTGGGTTTTTTAAAGTCCCCCACACTTGGTAATATTGCACCAAGAGTGGAATGCACTGTTGAGAACCTGACTCCAACACAGGAGGAAGAAGAAGATGAAGAAGAAGAATGATAAATCATAAAGAAAGATGGTACACAAGGTGTAACCAGAGTCATTTTCTGATGATACAAGTACAGCTTCCTTCCGCAGTATGACATGCTGCAGCTAATTACATGGAGATTATAAGAATAAACACATGGGATAGGAAATATTCAAATTAACTGATAAGAAATACATCATATGCAAGTCTTTGTTGTAATTAGTGTATTTCTGTATTATCTCATTTCCACATTTGTCAAATTAAACCACAAGAGTGTATAAATTCAGAGTGTACAATAATGATTCCTTTTTGACATCAAAACCCCCCAAAATGATGAATCAATTCAGCTTGAGCTATAGCGTCTACCTGTTTCCACATCTGTTGTTGTGACTGTGTCTCAGTCTCACTTTCCCAATTCAAGAAGCTTCCAATAGTAGGCAGGGAAACACCTCTCGCCTTATTGTTTTGATGAGACGTGTTGAGCTCAGCCTCATTCTGACACCTGAAAGGAGAAATAAAAAACAATTAATCCCAGCAATCAAAGTAATCATGTATATTTATATCATAAAACTGTTAGATACCTCCCTATATCTTAAAGGTATTACAAAGTTTTGGTATGGGGTCATGAATTTTGTTCAAATTAACATATTGGAAGCATATGCGTTCCTACAATATTCATTGATCATTGTCCCGGTAAAAATCGAGTCTAAAGTTATGAAATTATAAATAATAAACTCTTTATGTTGTATAGCTCCCTCTCAAGGTCAAGATATCAATTTAGCTATGAAACAATGTTTCTTGACTAAAATCGACCAATTAGCTATTTCTGTTTGGAAATTATATATCACAACCACATATTCTAAGATTTTCATGGTCGCAGCTACCATTGTACGGCCGTAGGCGCTATTTGAAATTTATCAAAATTTACCGGGAGCACCAGTAAATTTTTATATTCAATTTTTATTGAAAGCAGAAGTGTTTTAGGCGTTAATTTGTTTAGTGCTTATAATACATCCACAGGGGCATCCTAATATATCAAAATTGTAAAGAATCACTATCCACCCAACTTTCAAAATTTCCCAAAACTTTGTATTACCTTTAAAGTCATCTAATATCGCCTGTTTATACTTCAATTATTATATTTTGTCCAGATAATTTCAATTTTAAGTGGAAAACATGTTAAAAACCTTTTTTTATTCAAGTTACAGTTCACTTGGCCAAACAGATTGAGTCACATTGGTTTCATACTCAAAGCACAATCAATCCAACATCATAAACTCATATCTACATTCCTATTCATTTGAAAAGCATTTGTGGATCTATCATTGACTTGTTGTGTGAGTGAATCCTTTTGAAAAGAAAATATGACTGAATTCAGAACAAGACATTCTGTGGAAATTGTTTCTAGATGAGAAGTAATGTTATAACCAGGATGGGCAATCTTCTTAGAAGGTACTTTCATAATTGCATTATATTCTTATGAAAGCCCCGTCAAAATCCTGTATATGTAATATTAACTTTATAATATTTATCTTAATACAACCAGGGATATGTGAGTTTAAACTCACATACCCTGATACAACATTCGATTCATTAAATACCCTACTCACCTGTATTTTACTTTGTACGCGACAACTTCTGCAATCCTGTCCACTGCATCTGACAAACATTTGATCTCATCTCGATATCCGTAGAGGACTTTTTCAGCATCCATCTGATTAAATCGCTCTCCAACGACTGTTGCCGAAATGTCCAATTGTTGACAGGCTTCTTGCGTTGGGAGAGAGAAGAACGTGAAAACCTGGTATCCTGTTGAACACAGAGTATCTGACACATAGCTCCCATATTTTAAGATTTCCCGTACTTTACTCATGACTCTATCTGTGATGTCGACAGAAAATCGCTGAGGAGAGCAATAGGCTTCTTGATAATCTTCAGCAAATTCGCCTCGGAGGAATTCGGGCAGGAGGTTGTCTGCTGAGATCGAAAGCTTTACAATAGCATTGTCTTCTACCTCCGAGTAAGTCTCTCCTCCAGATTCCTGAGGTTCTTCAAACCCAGTCTGGAATATGTGCTCTTTGGTCCATGCACCCTGAGTAGGACGACTATTCATTTTGGGCATGGGACATCCTGTCTGCTGATCTGCTGCCACTGCAAACATTCCAAAGGCAGCTGTGACCTTTGACCTTGGAATACATCTGGGTTCATCTGTGAGCTCTTGGTCGTCATCTTCTTCACTGCAGTAGCTGACTTCTTCTGCATCAAAGTCTCTTAGAGAGTCGAGGTCATCGTACATGTCGCGTGATATTTTCTTATTCCTTTTCTTTGTTCCTTGCCTGGTTGTCTGGAGGACTGTTAACAACAATATGAAAAATATATATAAATCACGTTGTGTTTTTGTAAGAATTTATGGCATTGCAATATCTAAAGTTCCTTAACTCTTATCCTGCCACAGGGCTAATCCCCCCAGTACCAGATTTATAACGAGATAATCGGATTAACGCGATGGTACTAACAATACCGCGTGCAAAACACTAGGCACAGTCCAATGGGCATGAACAATAACTGCTATTAGGAATGTTTGCTAGCATGCAAGAAGCAGCGTAACAATAGCGCAGCCTCATGGCAGGCTATGAGTTAAACAATACATGTGTATGTAAAAAAAAAAATTTAAAAAAATGGTGCATTTACATCAAGGGAACTACTCTTCTATCAATGTAGTTATGTGGATATTTGACAAAGCTGTTATTTATAATAATTCAGGATAAAAACACATTTTCACATGAGAGGACAATATAGAAATGATCAATAATGCAAACGACTTACCAATATTTTCATCACCGCCATCGTCCATTCCATGTGATCTGCCTCTCTTTGGGAATGTGTACAAAGTGTGCTTCGGTGCAGCCACATTAATGGCATAGCTAACATTGACTGCGAACACCTCATCTTGGATGCCAGTTCTTTTATCCACCTTCACCCTCCTTTTTTGTCGCCTTCTCCGGTTCTTGGTTCCAAATTCCTTGTCATCTGCTGCCACTTGGTCGATGGATGGCTCTGTCTCCTTCAAGACTAGATCAGCTGCCCTCGCATACGTCTTATTCGGAGAGCATTTTGACTTTGCTGACATGGAATCGTAGACAGCGGTGCAGTCATTATCGTCTGGGTTGCCAACACCAATATGATGTTCACTCACTGTGATGCGGTTGCCATGACAGCAGACATTTCCAATGTCACTTTTTAGAGCATCAATGACCTCCCATCGCTTGTTTTTGTTGAGGGAAAACGGAATAACTGCTTCATTACTGAAACCTGTACAAAAACAAAATAAAAATAGCGCAGTATGATTAATGGTCAAATTAAGTATGCTTGTACAACAAAAGAGATATTTTTGTGAACAGTAAGTGAAACAGCGATTTTGATTTGAAAAAGTATAATAATTACAAACATCCTCTTCGGCTTTCTATTATAAATAAAATTCTCCTCAAATCTCAGAAAAACATCATGACTTAACCCAAACTATATAGTATACCGGTACTTGAGGTTAGACATATATACGCTGAAAAATGTCATACAAATAAGTAAATCAAAATAAATCCTAGTTCTGAGAAAAAGAAGTTGATCAACAACAAACAATGAGTATTTATCTTTCATAACTTACCTTTCAGGTTTAATGTTCTGTTCTGCAGATGATTTTCAACCACAGCCGATGCCTGTTTCTGTGCCCTTTTGAGCATCACATCTGCGGTGGCCTTCACAACAATGTTCTGACTAGAATGGACAGCCTTCTGAGACTGGACCGATCTCCTCACACTGTGACCAGTGCTAACACCAAAGCGAGTTCCTTCTCGTCGCACCATGTTCTTGCTTGTTTAGTTCTTCTTTTTGAAAGAAAAGAGGACCAGTCCTGTAAGTCCTATGAAAATATAAATTATTCAGAAGCTATTTACTTGAAGTTGAACACCGTAACTAGTGATATACAACCTACTACTCATTATTAGAGTAGATATACCTTGGCTACTTGGTGAACATTTCTTAATATTTTAGTGTCCTGGACCTGATTTCTCAATTTCTTCATTAAAAGATCTTCACAGATTTTCAGGTGGGCTGTATCTAATACAGACCACCTTATATTTTTGTTAAAATCGCCTTTATTTCTTTATTATTTATTTTTCTTAATTCTTACCACTTTTTTGTTAGCAAGATAACTTGAAAATGGCTTAATCAAATAAATTGAAATTTGGCACATATATGTATGGGCATATGGACAAAGCACGGTAAGGTTTTTAACCTTGACCTTGACTGATGACGTCATCTAGGCGCCATTTTGTGAAATTTTCTGAAAATAAACTCATGATCATATCTTCATAACCAAAAGTTATTTCTCCTTTATATTTATCATGATCAAGGTCAATATCAGTCCGGTCAATTTCAGATTAAAAAAACGCGCACATGCGTGTACGTCCGCGCGTCAGTGCGCGCGCAAAATATTAAAATGCTCAAAATCGTCTCAAATTTATTTTGCATACGTTTCAGGCCATTTTAAGCATTTTATAAAAAAATCGCGCACACGCGCATGCGCGCGCGTTTTCGCGCGTAACACCATTACACAACATAGAATCTCCATTTTTTTTCTTTCATGATATTTCTCATTTTTTTTCGAACAATTTGATACCATGTTCATCTCTTTATGACCATTAATAACAAGATGAGCGTCCATTCAAGATAAATGTCCGTGCGCGCGAGCCCTTGTAATACATAACATATATGGGCAAAAACATGCCTATAGAAAATCCATTATAGCTCTTTTGGGATGCACCTGGACCCCCATTTTTTTTTCATATTTTGATAGAGAATGAGTTGGAGATATGATTCAATGTCTCATTTGGCTATTAAAAATATTCTGACATCATCATAATGGCCTTGGAACTAAAAATACGAATTTGCATATTATGAAGTCAGCATATTTTTGGAAAATTGATTGTATCTCTGTAAATATTGATCGATTTTATTCAAAATTTCAATATGTTGTAGCTAAGACAATTTTCTACAAGCTTAATAATAACCATTTTTCATTTTGATGACGTCATCAGAGTGAAATTTCGATTAAAGGCCTCATGTCAGAAATTTCATAATTTGCGTGTTACGACTATTGAAGGTGAATTTGATTCACGTAATGAATCTACATGATATTGTTTTTTAAGAATTTTGAAGCAGTATTTTGCTTATTTTTGCTCTATTTTGTCTCAAATTTTAGTTGACCAGCCCACCTATACTTGTTTCAAACAAGTATTACATGTCTAGTTTATTTTTATTTTTTTTCACAGATAAACATTATTTCTATACCATGACACCCAATTACTTGATTACCATAATAGCCTATGATTCACCTATTAGTTAATTACTTCAATTTTCTTCTCAGAATTTCAAGCTTAACTTTCTTTGTGTATTAAACATAAATCTTAATTTCAGTTTTCCATTATATATATATATATAGATCTATATATATATACTCATTTTTTTTAAATGAAGATTTAAAAAGCAAACTGATAGTAAACCAATTACACACTTGGCAATTTCTCAGATCACCTGTCAAGCATCAACTCACTTAATTTCTTTCAGTTATATTGTTGCGACTTGTTAATTAAGGACCCTGCTTTTTTAAATATATGCCCCTCAGCTCACCTGTTCTGTCTTTCCTTGCTTCGGTTGGTGGTTCGAACAAACTCCTTCAACCCTTGGTGTGCAGATGATCAGAATTGAGAAATCTTCCTTCTTCTCCGACACCACCCTGATCGCGTTTGCTTTTGTTATTGTAAAATGACATTGCAACGAGACTCTTCATATTTATAGCGATTTATTCCGTATCAATACTGGTATTGTTTTATTAATAGCACAAGTTGTCTATTTCAGAGCGATTGTGCAATTCCAGACTTCAGACTTTCTCGTGATCGTGATTGCGACAGCAGGGCATAATAGGGCATGCATGCACGGAGTTCAACAGTCAATTCAGGGAAATACCCAGGCGCGCGTAATATAGTTATCTAGCGCGCAGCATTAACTAATGTACATAGCTTGTGTAGGGAGACATAGCGCAGCTTGTTCCTTGGAGTCCCCGATTTTTGTCTAGCTAAGTGTTTGAGTCACTGATCTCTACGGATTTGAGTGCGAAGTGGTTACAACACTGACGCGCTAGAATATCTCTCAATTCTGTTTTACTATAAGCGGCGGTACACAGAGCTAGCTGATCGAACGAGCGGGAGCCTACGCTTGCTGCGCTTGAGAACAAACAGAGATTTGAAGTCGAAGGTGAGATCAAAAATGTTATAGATCGTAGAAGACCCTTTAACAAATTGAAGGTACCAGTACAGTATTGTGAATATGTAGCCAATATGTATATATGATTTACATGTCGACGCAATCCTTCTGCAACTTAAATTGCTTTCTTTCAACTTGAAATTCAAGTTTCAATCAAGTTGGAATTAACTTGGACTTTGAGTCGGATTTGCAGCCTAAATGTTTTCTAGTATATACAACTAGACTAGAAATATACTAAAGGTAGACTCTACTCTAGCTCTAGTATAGCCAGGGAATGAGGGTGCGGTATACGGTAGGCCCTTAACCCCTTTTGAAGTGAGGTAAAATTACAGCCTACAGACTACATAGTACAGGGCAGGGGACTGATTTTAAAAACTGTTGAAAGTTGGGCGTGGCTGTAGGCTATGTGTGGTGTGTGTTGTGATATAGTATACAAATATACGAAGCTGTGAGAAAGAATAGTGGAAATTATTTATCTGAGGAGGGACTGGCAAAGTACTATTTTTTCCGAGGGCAAAGCCCTGAGGAAGAAATAGTAACTATTGCAGTCCCTCCGAAGATATATAATTTCCACTATTCTTACGAACTAAATGCTTGGTAGACCTCTATATTTGTTTTATATCACTTCGTTAACGATCCGAACGTTTGATTAATGATTGGCTGGCATTATGGTTTTTAACTTTATTCTTATGTCACCCACATTGGGCCGGCGGTATTGGAGAAGTTTATAATCAGTTTGAATTTGTCAATTTAACCTGTGCACAATTATATTAACGCGCATTTATCGAGACGCGCTAATTGCGCATTATTTTTTACTGAACATGATTTGACGTCACAATGCTTTTATACCTGAAAATCTCATAGAGCATGCGCAGTTCTGCCCATGAAAAAATAGTGGAAAATATTCAGAGCTCTGACAGAGATTTGTTTCAAATAGTGAAATTATATTTTATCACGTGACCATCAATTGACCAATCATGTATTTAGAAAACTCATGAATATTCATAGAAGGGATATAATTATACTTATTGACATAGACCAGTCTACTGCACAGAATACATTTCGATTTCAAATAAAAGCAGGAAAATCAGAGAAAATAAATAACTTATTTGGACTGAGCTGAGTGAGATTAGACCGAAATATTGATAATAATAGTAATAATCTTTTAAAGGTAAAGACCAGTTTTGGAAATGCCCCCTTCTCAAAAAATGAAATGGAAGCTCTTATTACCAATCATGTGAAAGAATATGTTTTGACTAATACATGATGATAAAAATTTTGCAGGGAAATCGCCTACTAATTGAAATATTTGGTTAAATTAGTTTATCTATTGGACTGAGAGATAAACGCTCGTGTCGCGCATATGTGCGTAGTCCCATATACATTATTCTGTGTACAGTGCTTATAACTTTACGAGGACTGGGCCATATTTCTTATTATTTTGGTGATTCCAGAACCTTGCAGTAAAAACCAATAAAATATGCTAGATGATCAACCTTTTCTGATCGATTCCACAACGTTTCTTTCACAATGCAATCACATGACCAGAACTGATCTTTATCTTTAAAGTCCACTCCAAATTTTATTAAACTGAAACAGAAATTCTTTTTGCCCAATTGATAGTGAGCACGGCAGCCACTGAGCAGCGCCAGATCGACGTTGCTCTATCCCTTAATTATTGTTGAACACCAAACAAGGTAGCAACAACTCCCATCTGTTAACGTCTTTTGGTATGACGCGGCCGGAGTTCGAACCCACGACCTCCTGGTTGTGAGGCGGAGGCTCTACTGACTGAGCCAACACTCCGGTACAAACAAAATGCAAATCCTAAGTTTTAACCCCAAACCAGAATCCATGCATTCGAGGAATAAATTCTGGAGCCTCATTGGCAGCGGCCATTTCATTTTTAATTTTAGTTTTGGAATCGACCAAATAGAGTTTCAAACACTGAATGGAACAAAGTATTCATCTTTGTATTTCTTTTTCCTTTATATTTTGCCACAGAAACTGGTAGATCTACATAATCATCTCACCAAAGTAGACTGTTTTCCATGCTTGCAAGCCACAGAAACAAAGTATGATTTTCATCAAGCGACTTGCACTGTTGGATGTGGGATCCAAAGTCCTGTCTGTCCTTCTTTTGATTTTGCAAGCAGCCTTTCTTGACGATTTCTTCATTAGATTTGATGAGGAAAATCCTGCAAGATGGGTGTGGATAGGTGCAGATGTTGTGATTGTTGCAATCTGGATAGCTGGTCTGGTCCTATCCAGTAGAAATGTTAATTCAAAGGAGCCAGTCGAGTCCCCAGAGCAAAAATTAAGCGGTGTGAAAAAATGGTTAACCATCTTTGCCGGTGAGGTGAAGTATGCCTATTTTTCATGGGTATTTTACAGCATCATCCTTGTGGCTAAAGTTTGGTACATGTTTGGTGAATTTGCAGAGGATTTCACTAGCACTGGCTATTATAACATGACAAACCTTGTCAAACTCAGAGGGGCTGTTAAACTTCATGAAAGCGACATCTATTCATCCACTTCAATCAAGGTGATCCTCTCCCTGACTGGACCAGTGTTCCTCCTTCTAGCATATGCACACCATGATGAAGTTCACAATTCTAAGTACAAGCTACTGATGGAGAAGCTTGGCACCATTGCTAGCATTGATGTTCTTGACAGTCTCATGCTTCTTGGGCTACTCTTTGTTGGGGATACCCATATCCTGTTGTCATACAACATGGACCATGCCATCAAATTCTTCACCTGCTGCTGTTTTGTGCTTCCCGCGCTTCCCCTCTTTATCCTACGCATCGTTGGCGAGCGGAAAGCAGAAGAAAACAACTTCAAAATTATCCTTGTTGTCAACTCGGCTCTCTATCTTTTCCTCGTTAATTTTCCTTTTTTGTGTATTCGTTGCTACCTGTGGTTCAAGCATGATATTGATATATCAACGTTCATTACCAAGAATGTGATGAGTCTGTTCAGAGGTGTTTTAGATGTATACAATGAGATCAGACAGTGGCAGAAAGCCAAGCAAGGTGGTGGAGTCGTAACTGAAGGAACTGAAACTGAAGAGCCTGGTATTGAATTATCAGACAAACCAACCCATGTCTAGATGCAAGTCACTAGAAGTAGAAAACTGAGCATCATGTAGATTTTGTTAGAACTACATGTTATTATTTCAACAAAATTTTCACGGTAACCACCTGGACATTTTGTTTTGATTTGAATTCATTTTTGTTTTCATAGGACATGGTAATCATACATGTAACTGATCGATTACAATGACATTGGGTGGATGTCGATCATGGCGTTATTTTGGGGAGTTTAAAGATACTACATGTATGTCGCTTTTGCAGCCAACATCAAATTCTGTAGAACTTTGCAGGAATTATGAATATGTCATATACTGTATGTCCTATCTGTGAAATTTAAACGTTAGCAGTGTCCTAATATTCAAGTTATGCTAGGAAACCCGTTTACTTGCTAGACTTCACTGTTAGACACTATTGAGTGACTGACTGGCTTTTTTTCTTTGGTACTAACATACATAAAATGAGCTGTAAAGGGTAAATGAGCATTTGTCTCCATCAATAACCCACTTCTTGTAATGGTCAAAATTAAACTGATTGAATCTATGCGCAGCATAAAACGTACGACCATTCGGAACAATGGTCTGAAAATCAGACTATTACTTACTGGCTCTATATGTCTTGAGTCGATTCGACAACTAATAGTCGTTATTTTCCCACTTAAAGACATTTTCAAGCCCCCCTGTTTTAGAGAATTTCTAAACTTATCTGATGCCGTTGGAATCTAACCTTTTCATTTTTGGGGCCTGCAAATGGAACAAAGTACCTTTAAGATTTAAGACTGTTTAAATAAAATGTAAGGATTGAAATTGTAACGTGAGGTTAGCCAATTAACCTTGTAATTGTAATTAATGCCTGTCATTTTCATTCTCACACAGTTGTAAAGAGGTTTTCAGCTTCTGATCTAACTTTTTCATTTGTTTCTCTTTCACAATGCCCACCTGGGATTGGAGTATTGTGTTTTACCTGTGAGAAATTGTTTTCTCATTGAATAGCAATATCAACTTACAACTGTACTGTCTTTCTTTGATTATTTACGCTTTGATTTTCATTAACTCAAGTAATGTAATTATGCAAGTACAGTCAAACCTGCTTTAGTGACCACCTGTCTACAAGGACCACATTTTTTGTTTACCTTGAAAATGGTTTCTCATTGAAACATGTACTAAAGAAACCTGTATTCAAAGACCACTTTTTGTGTTTCCCTTGGGCGGTTGCTTTAGACAGGTTTGACTGTACATGGAACATACCTCTTTTTGTTTAATTTTTAAGTAGATTTGAGAGAACTGCAGTAACAGCAGTTAGGGTTTGTATTTGTGATCTTACTGATCTGACTGTAACCAGTAGTAAAATTTACTTGTACACGTACATAGAAATTTGTTCTTCTAAGTTCTAAATACGGCATTATGAGAATAATATGTTTGAAATCGATTCATCTGTCATTTCGTCATCATAATGAAAATTATTAATGACTAAAAAAAAGACATTAACTTTTTTTTTCACCAAGGATCCAAACCCTGGACAGTGGACAGTCATATAGTTTGGAGTATACATAGTGTGCAGTGGATGTGTGACAAAAGTCTACTTTGGCAGTCCTGTTTGTTTCATTGGATGACCAAAGCTGGTAGAGAGTTAAAACAAATTACATGAAGGGGGGTCATCCTAACAAGTCACAAACATTAAAGATCAATTTTCTGAGGCTGACTCTGAACTCCTGAAGTAACTATTTATTAACTACCATATGTTTACACTGTAACTAAGAATTCCTAGAAAATATTTTATAAGGTTTGTATACAGGTCTCCGTACAAGAATTTACCCTTTCATTTTGATGTTCCTGATCACTGTAATATACGACGTAGGGTAAACGTTCTTGTTCCTAAATACCTGTATTAGATTGACTATGAAGATCTCTCTCAATTGAAATCTCGTACTACAAACTCATTTTACAAGAGGTTCTTGCCAGTGCTTTCCCAGTTGAGATAGCTTTCATAGTATAATCAGTTAATCACATTACAAGTGTATTCTTTTGATAAATGAATCATTTGAACTGGCCATCAAATTATACCTGTATTCACTCATAAACTTAAAATGAACACCGGTATATGAATAGAATTATAAATACAGTGTACTTCACAAAAGGTATGACAAGTTGAAATGACAGTTTGTGTATATGTCATATATTTGAGTAATATCTGCATGTGTTTTACTTTGTATTATTCATATCCATTGAAATGTACACCATGTACAGACTGCATGACCATTGTAGCAGACTTCATACTACATGTACATTCTACCTGAACATTCTTTTCTCTTCAATTTAAGGAGAATAATTTTATGAAATGGCTGTACAGATAGTACTCATTTGATTGCAAGTTTCAATGTCCAAAAATAAATGTCAGCTACCTTTTCTTCACTGCTAAGTAATATTAGCTTCATCACTGAAATGATGCATATCTGTCCAAAATCTGTGTGATGCGCTACTTGTGCTTTGACATGAAGCATGTACTGCGTAGCACTTCTAGATCAGATGGTTACTTACTAGTGCACCTGTTTAGAAGGAATTCTTAGAAAGTTGTAAGCACACTGCCTCATGGTAGCCTATCTACAATCCACTGACAGTCTTGCAGAGTTATGAGTTCCACTGCGTGGTGCCGTGAAAGGAAGCATCATTGAGCTATCATTGTTTCTCTTTTCGATCAGCAAAATCTATGATAATGACAAACAACTTGGCTCTAGAAAATTGAAAGCTTAAAAAAGGTTCTGAAATGTTTTGACAGACTCATGGAACATAGGCGAAAACAAGAATTGGACGGATGTTATTTACTTTTCACATCTAATCATACAGCATTTTGAAAAGAAAAGTAATATTTACTAAGCTCCTTGAAGATGTTTGAAATGTAAACACAACCACTTATCCTACTTGCCCCGATGTAGCTGAAATTACATGCATTTGTACACATGATGCTACAATTCACACACTGTGATTTCGGTACACAACATTACACAATTAGTTGGGATCCAATTGCATTTAATAGATTCCTTCATGGCCATCTAGTTTTTTAAAATGATGTTGCCAATAGTACTTAACCTTTTAGACTGAATGTTTGTAAATATTGACCGTTATGCATTAAAAGTGTGTCATTTTGATAGAAACCGATATAAGAAAAAAAAGGAGCATGAAAAGCAGTTTACATGAATCTTTCATGACAATAATTAATCAAGTTACATATTGCTACAGCTAGACGCATATTTGAATTTATTGTGCACCGGTTGAGTTTGAGGCTTCTTTTAAAAAAAAGACTTATGAGAAGCATTTGATAAAGTATGCATGTGTATTATGAAAGTATTATATCTTCATTACCAGTGTAGGTGTGTAAATTTCAAAGAATACAAGCCTGTTTTTGTGATATTATTTCATAATTTTCATGTAATCTGTATGTTTGTGTTGTCCTGTCACACCAAACCTGTGAACAAATGATATACTCTGAAGAGTTTGATGGATAAAAATTCAGTTGTATTAACATTTGATGCACACATTTTCCTTAAATGGTTACTCTTGATATCTTAAAGAGCTATTTAACTTGCCTGACATATCTACATGTACAGTATACAGTAACTACACAACTACATGACTCCAAGAGTGATCCACAAACAAAAACAAAAAACAAACACAAATATTCAATTTGGAGGGAGTATGAAATGAGGTGCTTGAAGCACATATGATGAGTGCAAGGCACAGAGTTCCTGGTAGCTAGGGTGTTCGGTGCTCTCTGATGCAATCTGAGCCATGTTTTGAAGCATTTTCATTTTTCAAGCAAGTTTATGACTAGTATTTCATAAATAAATTTAGTTGAGACTGCTGGTGATTTTTCAAAAACTCTATGTTATACTTGCCTTGAATTTGCTAGTCTTCAAACTTGTCATTCTGAAATTCAAATCTGTCGCTGTTTCAAGTTAACACCCATCGTGGATCAACGTAGAATCAATGAACGGAGGATGCATTATGTTATCACTGTATTTAAGGAAGAAGTATACTGTCTATAAATTCGGAAACTTGTGTCTTACAGCCAAGCAAATGAAATCACATTTATTTTATATGAATTTCTATTCAAAGAAGGCGGGAGCAAGTAAGTCATAACTTGAATTTTGTGATAGTTGCAGCTTGCCTTGTTTATTCTTTGTGTATACTTTATAATTCATTTTGATGAGCCAATATTAGCAACAAACAAAACAATGGTGATGTCTTTTTTTAATTGTTTTTATTCCTTACTGCCTTATTTTTATCTGAATTTTTTTCTTGAGCGAGTGCAAATTGATTCTGCAGGGATATTGGTTCAAATGTGTAGGTGTGATATCTTCTTCTTCATATTTCACAAAGGTCTAATATTGTACGCATTAAAGGTACCATTTTACATTTATAATCTAATAATTGAAAATAACACAAATTATACAGTCAATCGAATATGACTGGGCATAGCACAGTTATAAATAGCAGAATGTACTAAAACACTCAACGATGTAAGATGGTACCTTTAATTTCATTTCAATTACTTATGGTATGTCATTTTAACATATAAATATCTTCTTTTTTTTTTAAACATCATTATTCAGACGTTATATACAAATTATGGGTGTAGTGTTTTTTTAATCCTTTTGAAATACATTGAGATATTGAACATAATCTTTGTCTTATGTTATTGTTGTTGTCTGTGAATTTTTATGTTGGAAGAGCTATGTTTCCTATTTTACATGATCCACTCTCAGAGGTCGTATGAGGCCTGGAGGTACACCATCGTGCGCGTAACAAATGACAGATTTACACAAAATGAAAACTCGGCAAAGGAGGGTTTGAAATGGAATAATATGACTCTTTAATCAAATATGAATTAATTTGACAGTGTCTTCCAAACCATTTGTATGGAGGTCTACTCTCATTTACAAATTACATCTGGAAGACTGCAGTGGGTCAACTCAATGTGTTAAGGTCATAAAGGGATGAGACTTTAGTGAATAAAAGAGAGGGGGATACATAGTGAGTTGAAAAGGGACCGAATGAGAGAGAGACAGAAAGGATAATGAAGAGGATTGGGAAGAGAAAGAGAGAGTACAGGAAATACTATCCTAGAAAAGAACAATATTCTCCATTCCCATCTAAAAACTAGTGATTATGTTACATACCCTTATTGATATATACCCAATATTATTTAGATAGTGACAAGTGATTATAATAGATATGATATATATTATATATAATAATATAATAATGACCTATTCATAAGTTCAACCTCTATACCCGTTCTTCAAATTTTATTTTCAAACGTAATTTAAATACGGAATGC